ATATTTTTATATATATAATTATTGTATATTTATAAGTAATAACATTAAAAAATGCTAAATATAAATTTTAATATAATATAAACTTAATTTTCATTTGCCCGAACAGAAAGACTGTCATACGCTTCTATATTACGATTTATAATAATTTTAACATTAAGAAATTGCAGATGCAAACCAGTCAAAAACAACAAACATATTAAAAATGAAATTCTTATTAAAGAAAAATAATACATAAAATAACTGTAGTTACAAGTTTAATGGAATAAAATTATGTTTAACTGCTGATTAATGAATAATAAAATATTGGAAAAAGTTCTTTTCATATTTTTATATTGTGTAATATATTTTTAAAAAATGTAATATCTCTTTAAAAGTTAAGAAACGATAAAAATAAGATAATGTATTGACTATGAGAAAAGTAAAGCTGAATTGCGTTACATCATCAAATTTCACTAACAGATATCAGAAGTAAACAATATGATATAATAATTATATTAAACTTTAAAGATAGTTGAAATATTTAATTTAATTAAAATTATATAAAATACCAGGTTATAATATACAAGTTAATAATAATAATAAAACTAAAAATCACAACAGATAAAAAGCTATTTTCGTAAATATAGTATAACTTGTACTTTATATTATGTAATTTTGTTGTGAGACGATTTAACTACTACATTTTTCTTTTGATAATTCGTTATCTATAAGAATTCATTTGTTTTTTAATGTTGTTTACTTTTGTATATATAGATAATATGACGCAAAAAATAAAAAAAATATTCAAAAATTCTTCCATTTTCAATTATTTTTTTGTTTGATAATGAAATTTTCCTCTACAAAATTCGATTTAAAATTTAAATCACTGTTTTAATGTTAAATAAGTTGCTACATACGTATGCAATAAATCAAATGTTACGTAAATATTTTTAAAATAACGAAATTTAAATTATTATCTCCTTTGGTTAACCGTAGAAGCTAATAGTTTAAACCTGCAAGCTAAATCCTGCAAAACAATGTAATTTAAATATTGAAATATTGCTTACAAAGATTTCTATATATTTAGAATGATTGTGCGTTATACTATAATTCAAAGAAAATTTAAAAACTATTAGATGAAATTCAAAATAATCTAGTTACAAGATTTAATATAAATTTTATATATTTTATTAAGTGGAAGATTATTTAAAGGTTAATTAATAAATTATAAAAGCATTTATCTTTAACGAATAACAAACATAAATCTATGTTTTTTACAATTTTCTTTAAAGGTATTAATTATAATAATAGATTGTAAAAAGTTAATAAAAATAATTTGTATCAGCTAATACATAATTAGTTTTAAGATTCTACTGGTATCTAAGTATTATTTATAGCTGTTTTTAATCATGTGTTATTATTATATTTTTCTACGAAATTAAAAAGATCTGCTAATTTGACACGTTCCTTCGTGTTTCATATACACATCTTTCCTCTGTTTACAGGTGTCAATGCGAAAACTACACCAAGAAGGGTACGTGATTCCATCGCTACCACATACAGGGATGTGTCCTCCGTAAATGCATGAATCGGGGCATCTGCAGGATGCTAATTGAATTCTTTTGTCGAAGTGACAATCGCCGTTGTGAGGGCAATATTTCTTTTCGCATGGTTCTATGAAAAAGTGAAAAGACATAAATGTTAACATAGTTTATTTTTACAATTTTTTTAAGTATTTAAAATTTATTTATATTTACTAACCATCTAATATTGGAGGCCTTCTTGGACGTATTTCATCTACAAAAACATAAAATTTGTTATATAATGCAACTTAAACTATTTTATATTGATTTGCCATTTATTATAGACTAAAATCAAATTTTAAAATGTTGTTGTATGATATCATCCAAACTGGATGCTAACATGAGGAAAACAGTCTCGTTACCATAGTAACAAGAATGGCCATCATGTCTGGCATCAGTCATATCGTGACCTCCCCGAATATAAGGATCGACTTCTAGTATAAAAATACTCACTTCTTTAAGTGCTTTGTAATAAAAAGATAATACTTAAAACATGTTTTAAAAGCGTTTTAGTTAATAGTTTTAAAAACGTTTACGAACTGAAAGACTAGTGCATTAATTATTTTTAGTAAATGCAGTATCACTTCTTAAGAAAATAAAACATTTATCATTATGATAATTAGTCATTTCACTTATTTAATAGTTGACAAATCGTGAGTAATTCTATACTTTTTAACAAAATATATGAATTTTCAATTTTTTCCCCCTGTTGATAGGAGCGAACATCTGTTTCCTTATGACGTCAATGTAAAGTAGTACGTTCAATTTTGGATTCCGTCCAATAAAAATTAACTACAAAAATTGTCACGCCTTACAAGTGTCTGAAAACAATTTCTGTAAACGAATAAGTGTAGCTTACTTTTAATTGTCAATAAAGTAAAATAAATTGACATGACATTACCTTTGACAGCGTTTCGAACTCTATCCAAATTAGGCACGTTAATTTGTAACAGGCTAGAATTTAAGCGGTAAAGCCCGATACTTAGCCGATTGAGCATAAATATACGGGTATCGCCGCTCCTCAGATGACTATCACAAAAGTCTTCATTACCTAGCCCTTCGACTAAGACATTATTGCCAGCTTCCAACCTATCTCCTTTGATAATTCTCTTAATTCTAACTTCGCAACTGTAATGACCTCTTGATGAAGTGTAAACACGATTAACGGTGCCAGTCAAAACAACATCTGCAGATTCTTCTCTAGATTCTATCGTATCTTCATGGCAGTCTTGATATCTTCTTCTAGCTTCTGAAGTAACGACTAATAAAGCTAAGAAAACGTATATTAAAGACATATCAAGAGTGAACTGTTAGAAAAGACATAGAGTCGTCCTTCTCACTGCAGCAGCGCTAAAGGCGGAGCCTACTTACTGACCGTAATTGGGGTGGCCGTGGGCGTTTCTCAATTTGATGAACATTCTCAAACCAGTGTCCATCTGTTAGAGATAACAGAGATTTAACTGATTTAAACAAATTTTATAGGGATAGAAAAACCTGAATTATTTCTCTCAGGGCGTAAAAGCTTCGATATTATCATTTTGAAGGCCACTTTCTTTTATTTTATGATTATCTCTTTATAATTGGAATTGTAATTAAACTGTGGGGTGTACATACCGTACATATATATATATATGAATGTATACATGCCATTATTTAATGTTTACAATTCAGTTATGTAACTTTAAAAATATAAAAATTAAAATAAAATTGATACTGATCAATTGTTTGAAAATGTTCAAGTATTTTTATTATATATCAATTTAAATAACGGTTAATATGTTATAAGTTTAATATTATTATATAAAATAATAATTACATAAAATTATTTTCATTTAGCTTTGTGTTATAATGAATCGGCGGTATTAATTCATATTAGTTAATAATTTATAAATAAAAATTGTGCTATTTTCATACTACTTTATAAATAAGTTTTACTTTTAATTAATAAATAAGATTAATTTTATTTGATTTTCTTATTTAAAAAAATAAAGATCGCTAAAAAAATTTTTAATATGTTTAGAAAAATTGCTCAGAAGATGGAGCCACTAAAAATATAGTTTGCCAATAAAAAAGCAATGGAAAACAGTTTGCATTAATATTTATTGCTTTAGTGTTGTTATTTACTTCTTATTTTAAATTTAAATTCAAAATTTTTGAAAATTAAAATTTTTAAATTTTTATTTATTAAAATACAGTATATAATATTCAAATTTTTAATGAATTCCAAAAAAAAATTTTATTGTATACATTAAAATAAAAACTGTACATAATTGTACTTTTATAAAGAATAAAAATACAATCTGAAATTAAATATAGCAACTTAATTGTTTATAATTTAGATCTTAATTNCATATTTTCATTTTAATTAATATATTTTATAATATTAATATATTTAATTAATAATATTTTAATTTTAATAATTAATATAAAATGCATTTCATTTTAATGTGTACTGTAGTACATTACTTTCAAACTTATATATATTTATCATACAGTATTATTAAAATAAAGAATAAAAACTCAAATTTTCGTACATAGTTTATTTGGGTGTTTACGTATTTATTTATACATCAATCATGCAGAAACAAGATCTTATTACGGAGAAATGAAGGTTTACCTTCAAATAACAACAAACACAAAGGTAAAAATGTGAATTTCATAAAATTATTTATAAAAGTTGTTTGCTAGAATCGTGAATGCAACTGTTTTTCTAGAATAAGAAAGGATAAACAGAACTGTTATTCACAATATAATAGATGTTTAGGAATGAATTAAGGACTTCATTGTAAAGTACTGTACGTACTGTACATTTAAATATGGTAAAATAAAATTGGTCAGTTTTTCAAGAAAAAAATTTTTCTATAGTTTTACATTCTTCATTTATGGATTATGATAAGTGTCCATGCTTTATTTTGATTCTATAATATAATATTTTAATTTTTGTTTACTATGTTTTTGTATGCTGTCTATAGGTTATATTCACTGCGTATTAGAATATCGTCATTGTGATTTATAAACATTTGGATAAAATTAAATCAATCTGCAATCGTTCCAGTACAATTGCAAATTGATGTCTTATTCTTTAATCTATTGTATATTGATTTAATTCAGTTCAACGGAGTTGCGAAGTATTTATTTATAGAATCCTTTTCTTTTTTATTTTGAAGAATCCTAGCTCATCGCCAACTTTTTCAGTTATATCACATCAGAAAAAAGAATTAACAAATTCTTTTATGCGGTATGATAATAGTGAACTTTAAACTTTAAAGAATTCTTTTATAAGAAAATGATATTAAATAATTTCTTTAAAAATTTAAGAAAATTTCTCAAGATATAGTGTGTTGATTTAATATGGAATGAACAATAGTTTATAATAAAATAATGAAATATATATACAGTATATTCTTCTAGTATGACTTGATGACTCATACATATAAATTACATATTGTTTTTATAAAGTGGAATTTTGTGTAGGTTACCAACACAACTATGTGAAGTATATAATTTATCAAACGATAATTAAAAATATAAATAAAACTTTCATACGCAACATACTATAGTCTTACTATACACTGAACTAATTGATAATAAATAATATTCAAATTACAACATTCTGATATCGAATTTTGATATCATTCATTTAGAAATAATGAATTCTGTATTATGTTTATCTATAAAACTATCGCGATCAAATTTTGAAAGCGAAAGTTCAGAATTTTCCAATCAAAGATATCAATTAATCTTGTTAAACGTGAAAAAATAATTAATTATATAAATAAATAAATATTTATAATCGATATTAAACTACATTAACAATAAAATATGTAATTTTTTAATTATATTAAAATTAAATTTTATAATACTTAATGTATAGATTAAATATTATTATTATGAAACCCTGCCTAACTGGCTCATGTTTTATTCATTTTTTTTTTCTTTACATTTCCTTCCCTATATTATCGTTTTCGGAAATTCTTTTATTTGTATATATTAAATAAATACGTAATATTTTATAAATTTTTATGTTAAAAAAGTTATTGTATAATATAATGAAAATAATTATAATTTATTAAAAATATAATAAAATTTATTGTTGTGTTTCCGGTCCAACAAGGTTATCGAAATGGAACAAGGTTATAGGTTGGATCGGTAAAGGTACCAATTTTTTTGAATTATTAGTTCCAAGTGTATTAATATTTACAATAAAAATTAACTGTAATTACGATAAAATTATAGAAACTTAAATTTGTTTCATAATTAAGTACAAAACTTTATATAAAATATTAAGATATTGAAGAGTATCTGTATGTCTATTTTAAATATTATTCATTAAGTGATTTAACTTGTAATATAATTTTTAAAAATAAACTATAAGTTTTATTGTTTAATTTGATAATATTTACTTACTACAATATTTAAGTTTATTTATATTTATAAAATAAATCAATAAACTTGTGTTGTATAGGAAATATCTTATTAAATAGACTTATAACATATTTTTATTTCATTCGAATACTTGAGAACTAAAAATAAATAATTAATTACAAATTTTTATTAAATTAAAAATATAAATGATAGGTATAGNGTCACATCCTAAGAAAAAAAAACAACGCGAATGAGATTTTATTCTAGAGAGAAAAAGAATTTAATCACTCCCACTTGAATCTAGTAATATGGAGAAAAAATAAAATAAATTTTAATTTTTCTACAACACCGTAAAACATTACGTTTTTATTTCCTCGATTTATTAAACATTTTTGACAAATATACTTTAAAAGTATTTTTTTTTTAATGTAAATTTTGACATAATTTATGAAGAACGGCGCCGGTGGTAAATTTTTAGTTATAATATTTATTTTTTAATGTTAAAAATATCAGCCGGTGTTATTACTCTTGCATGCTTCTCCACCTTGATGTTGCTGAACCTGTCTGTTACTATGGTTACCTTATCCGAAACGACAATCTTGTTATTTGGAAAATTTACACTGGCCACCATCTTTGCGTTATTGATTCTGTTTTCTAATATCTATTTATAGAGCATTTACACCGTATATATCCATTAAAGGGGATTTGTTTCGATAAAGTGGATGATGGTTATCTTCCTACTAATTTAAAACACCGCAACTGCTTAATTAAATTAAGTTTTAAAACACATTTTTGCCTGGTAGAGGTCGAAAAAGTCGTCTTATTTTTAACTACATTAAATGAATTTTATGATAATGATAAACAATATATGGTTTCCTTCCGATCAATCCTATTATTATTGTCTAGTTATGAAGCGCTTTATAATAATAACGGTGGTGTTTCTTTTCGGATAAGTGAAAATAAAAAAGTCATATTTTGTCTTTGTAATATCACTTTACGGCAATAACTCGAAAAATGTTGAAGCGAAATGTCACAGAACGACTTTTTCTTCAGTATATGCTTTTCAGCAACAACGTTGACCTTTGCTATTATGGATTAGAGACTGTGTTGATTCATTGCTGTAATAATAATGAAAATTCAAATTAAAATCAAATTATTTAGAAAAGATAGATATAATTATTAGTATTATAATAGACTTTGAGGCTATAAAAAAGTACTCTTTTTTTAGTTTATTTCAGTCAATATTTTTATAGTAAATAATAGGATATATTTAGGTATTTTTTTTAAGGCAAACTACATTCTAACAGTAAATACAATTAATTATTTTTAAAATTTAATCTTCCCAGTTATATATAATTAAAAACTTTTTATTTTTTATTTTTTTTTAATTATAGTTTAACTGATTTGCTGTGTAATATTGAGTTTAATTCTATGAAATAAGTAAAAGATTTCAGTTAACAAGTTACTTTTAAAATTTAAAACCAGTTATTGTAAAAGACAAACACCCTTCTGATCATATTTATAGAACCTACGCTATATTATCTAAGAAAATCCCCATAGTAAATGGATCCAAATACCTACGCATAAAATATAAGATTATTCTTAGTTTTTGTAAAATCGCCAACGCATAAGTAAAAGAGGTCAAAAGAATTCATTATTTGCCATCAGTCCATGCAACAGGAATCTTTTAAACCATTGAAATTCTAAAACTGTATTCCTTTACGAGGACAGTTTCAAATAAACATTGTTATTATAAGAAGTTGTAATTTCATTATTCGCTATTCTATTCATTTAATGTCCATTAGAGTATTTCATCATGAGTAATAAATGATAGTGGATATATAATAACGAAACAGTTGCATATAATGTGTCATCAGTCAGTAGGACATTAATGACGTTCATACTGACATAACTTGTTAAGCAAGTAGATTTTTATAGAACGGAATCAGTATATAAAATTTCATAAAATATTATTAATTTTTAAATAAATATATTAATTATATAAAACTAAAATTGTTTATTTAATATAATTGACCTAGAAATTCAGAATATAAAAATAGAATTTCAATTTGCATTTTCCTGCAGATATTCGTATTTGTTGATTTGTTTAAGGTCAATGTTATCTGATTTTCAATTTAAAATATATAATTATTTATTCATTTAAAAAATATACAGGAAAAAAAAACTAAACAGAAAATTATTTCTTGAGATTTAAAGCAAGTGATTCATTGAGATACAGCTTTATGATATGTCTATAAAATATAGTTATTAAACTATTAAAAATATAGGATATTTATTATATTTCTATAATATCAGCAATTTTATATTATACATACTAAAATAATGATAATCTTTCACGATATCATACTGTTTAAATGTAATTAATACGAAACAAAAAATTTAATAATTTTATCTAATTCATTTATAGATGTTTTAAAAGTTTTGAACTTGTAACTGGGTTTAGTTAAAATTATGTCAAAGGAAACTAGTTAAAGGTCAGGGAACGTATAACTATATATTTAATTATATACATGCTTACAAAATTAGAAATGTAAGCATCCAAGCTTTAAAAAAATGTTGAAATTCAAATTTAATGATATGCTGTAAAACATCTTGCTTCAATAACAAGAGCCTTTGGTAAATTATTTCGGAAAAAAAAGAAAAAAAAAATTAAAACTTTTTCTTCATTCATTACTTTTCTACGTGAATAATAAATAATTAAAAATAAATGNATAAGTTTTTTAAAATCTCATTTAAATAAAAATGCATAAAAAGAAAGCAACGAGCAAACTATAAACGCCTGTTGATACGAAGTAAAAAGGGAACAGTATTGAAATTCGAATACTTTTAGAGATGGGTGTCGGCTCGTCCATGACCTGTTACCATCCTCTCTCTTTCTATCTAATGACGTAAGTAGAAAATATATTGCCGAAATGTGGTCCATAAAGTAATTTTATCCACATTATTCAAATTTTATATTAAAAAAAAATATTTGCTCGAATTTTCACTACAAAGCCTTTCACTATAATAAATTAATACTTGCAACATAAGTTAAAATTTCTGTCTATTTTTAGAATAATGACTACATTTTTTTTAAATATGAAATATTTTACAGACCCGTGCAATAAAAATATTAAATTAATTCTAGCGAGAAGTGTATTTCCACCAGTAATTATATAAACAATATTTGTAATTTTTTATTAAAGAGATAATTATAGCTTGTTGTAGTTAAAGCACGAACAAAATTAAAAAAGGGAATAAAAAATTTCCATGCAATTTGATTAACTCTTTTTTTTTAAAAAAAGGCATTCATGCACCGTAAAACTTGTGTGCATAAATATTTTTATTAAATTATGTTTATTCAGTTATATTTAAATTATAAGAATTTATGTTTAATTTAATATATTTCTTCCAAAAATTTTAGTTTAGTCGTATTTATTATTTATATTATTGAGTAATCATTAAAATTGAACATTGAACAAACTATTTTCACACAAATAAAATTATTGATTCCATAATATCAAGGCTAAATACATGAAAATAAATTTAGTAATTTGCAGGAAGAATCATTAAAATTTTATCGTCCGAGAGAAAGGAATAATAATAAAACAAGCATTCGGTATTTTATGCGATTAATTATTGTTTAATAATACAATAATAAAAATTGTAAATAACATTTAAAAACATTCAAATTTTTAAAAACTTGTTTATGTTTTTCTAAACGCCATAACTCAAATTATAAAATAGGAAAAAATTCAATTAATATTCCCGGATCTTACACATGTTGCCATTTTAATAAATAAAAAAAGTGACCTTATGGCCTTATTTAAGACTAAATACTATTAAATAACATTAACTAACATCAGAAGTTACGCAGAATTTATTAAAGCTTAATTAGAATTCTTTTACGTCTTTACATATATCATCAGCATACCAATAAAAAATAAAAGATGGCAGTCAGGTGATTTCGTCACTTTGAAATGGTTTTTGTTACAAAATAGTTAATGTACTGTACAACATAATTTTCTTGTAAAATGCAAGACAGATATGTAACACGCTGCAGGTGTTTAGTGCGTGCATTTCTCGTACTGGGAATTATAAAGGAGAAAGAAAAATAACGTCACGATTATTTAGAGAACAGGCTTATGGAAAAATATCAAAAAATTCTGAATTCTGAGATGTTAGCAGGTGCGCCTGTCTACAGGTGGTAAATTATTGGCGGAGGCGTCCTATTTTTAAAAAGAAAATTAGGCTACTTTTGAAGATTGTGCTGATGCATTTGAATGATAGTGAAAATTTTTAAGAGTTTTTTTACAAATATTATCACGTTCTCCTCGAGATAAGCGTTATATTGCTTAATACAAAACACGAATTACTTTTCCGTTCATTTAGCAAATTATTTTTATATCATACATAAAAATATAATATCAATTAATAAATGTGCTAAAATGGTGTATAAAATTTTATTAAAAGTATCGAATTAAATTAAATTTTTATATAAAAAATTCAATTTGATTATAACAAATTCCAGATTTAAAAGAAATAAAAAGAGTATTTTGAGTATTGGAAACAGTTATCTATTTGAATTAGTATAGCTAATATATGGAATTACAGGCAATGTTCTATTGTTATTGTTATTTTTACATAATTTCCTTATTAGGATTAAAACTATATTTTATGTTATTTAGTTATAATTTTAGGAGGATAAAAAAGGCAGCTTAAGGTCACAGTCACTAACACGGAACTAAAATAATCATTAACAGTAGAGAAAAAAATGGTGACAAAAAAATGATTTCTTCGATTGTTTTAAAGACTAAGAAAGACGAGCGTAAAAACAGACACCGCAGGGCGCCACCATCGACTTACTATCGGCCCTCTTCCTGTGACATCACACACGATCCAGTTCCGGTCTGAGGAGACTAGTTTTGTATACCCAGCGTGGATGGGTTCAGTCGGTGAAGTAGAAAGAGAGTGAGTAAGTGTGTACCTGATGAATATCCAACATTCGTCCATCATGTCTGACAATAGGAATAACAACCAACATGCCATGGGATATGAGCATACTTTGGTAAGTATAAAGCATATTTTGCTATTTTTTATACACTCTGACATTTAGTTTGTTGGCAAACTTTACTCATACTGAATTGGTAAAAGTGGAGTATTTTATCGAATTTACCTTCATATTTTACTTAAATGCAATTGTTTATTAAATTGTTTTAACGAGTATTTAAACGGTTCGATTCAACAAGCATTGTTCCTAAATAAGAATGCTTTTTAAAGCTCAGCGACTATTTTTTTTAATTCTATTTATAACTGCAAACCATGCAAACAACAGAATTTTATTGTAAATAAACGATTATATTGTCTTTTTAAAGCAGGTTATTCTTAAAAACAAATTTTTAATTCAAGTTATAATATATGCATACAAGGACATCATGTTTGAATTTTTAAAGTGTCTTTTTTAGAACAAGATCATTCGATTGTTTATATTATTTTCTAAAGGAAAATGTCGATTTTTATATATTTTATTTTTAAATTATATTTTTATCTAATAAAATAAAGAAATGGAAGTTTTCGTGTAAGTTTAACGTAACTTTAATATATATTTACTATAAATTTTATACTAAAAATGATTGTGAATTAATTAATAATTACAAAAATGACTTCAATTCTTCTTTTGACGAATGTCCGGCTCAAAACTAAAATAGAAAGCGGTAAAAGTTAAGTTTACTTAACACCGTTAACGATCTACTTGGGGTTGATATAGTATCACTTTTACCGCTCTGTACTTTTCGGTCCTGTTTACATTTACTCTTAGTTTTACAACAATGATTTACGTACACTAAAAATAAATACGATAAGGAATCAAATTCTCCATTTCTAATAAGAATTTATTACGATCTATTTATTGAATTTAGGTTAATTTTCTTATTCGTTAGTTACAAATTTCAAATTCCGTCCTTTTAATTAAGTTACTCAAAAGTTTTTGAAGCAACAGAATTTTATTTCTCTTTCGTGTTTTTCGACACAAACACGAAAGATAAATGAAAATATATTGCATTATGTTTGAAAGCGTATTTTATGTTTTTAAAATGGAATTCTATACATAAAAAATAAAATATTTTATTGATATTGCTATATATAAGTAGGGATGGATCTAGGCAGTGGTGGGGGCGATCGCTCCTATTTTTATTGTTAACATGAATTTCATTATATTTTTTATATGATATATTTATATTTAATTTGTTTGTATCATTACTTCTCCGTTTTCTTACATTTCTATGTTGTTTAAGTTTACGTAATTTATTTAAAATGATTATTAAAGTAATAAAATTTTTATATAAGATACTTGCTCCTGATCCGCCTTTGTATAAGGATTCATTTATGTAATCGTTTACATAGTGCAATACTAACTTAATACAAGTCTAAATTTATTTTCTATACAATAGGCCTACTTTATTTCTCTCATACAGTCTTAATATCGTATAAAAATTCACGTCATTTGTGTAGAAATGTTCATTAAATTTCTCATATCAGTTAGATATTTCGAAGAATATTTGATAAAAGTCAATTAAGCATAGGGGGCCTACATTAAATAATACCTGGCATATAAACTTTGGAACAATACAGACTAAATAATGTTATTCGTGTTTTACAAAAATTTATAGTTTTGAGAGGATTTTACGATAAATTGTTTTTCTTATTGTAAAATAATTTGTAGCTTTTCGGTTTATTCCATAGGAATATCATTTATACTGTAAATAAATAACAGTATTACAAAATCAGGTTTTAAGAATTTTATCAATAAAATAGACTTATTCAAATTTAAAACTGAATTAAATTTATATTTTAGCTTAGTTTTCTTTTTGTATTTTCTATAAATATTATTGATATATGGCCTATACAAAATCTATTTGTAGGTATTATAAGAATAAAAAAATTATAATATAGTAGAGATAAGAATATTATATTATTTAAAAGTAAAGTTTATACGTGGTTTATACTTTTTAAAACTACTTTTGATAATCCTTGTTTTTTCCTTTCTATTCNTGTTTAATAATACAATAATAAAAATTGTAAATAACATTTAAAAACATTCAAATTTTTAAAAACTTGTTTATGTTTTTCTAAACGCCATAACTCAAATTATAAAATAGGAAAAAATTCAATTAATATTCCCGGATCTTACACATGTTGCCATTTTAATAAATAAAAAAAGTGACCTTATGGCCTTATTTAAGACTAAATACTATTAAATAACATTAACTAACATCAGAAGTTACGCAGAATTTATTAAAGCTTAATTAGAATTCTTTTACGTCTTTACATATATCATCAGCATACCAATAAAAAATAAAAGATGGCAGTCAGGTGATTTCGTCACTTTGAAATGGTTTTTGTTACAAAATAGTTAATGTACTGTACAACATAATTTTCTTGTAAAATGCAAGACAGATATGTAACACGCTGCAGGTGTTTAGTGCGTGCATTTCTCGTACTGGGAATTATAAAGGAGAAAGAAAAATAACGTCACGATTATTTAGAGAACAGGCTTATGGAAAAATATCAAAAAATTCTGAATTCTGAGATGTTAGCAGGTGCGCCTGTCTACAGGTGGTAAATTATTGGCGGAGGCGTCCTATTTTTAAAAAGAAAATTAGGCTACTTTTGAAGATTGTGCTGATGCATTTGAATGATAGTGAAAATTTTTAAGAGTTTTTTTACAAATATTATCACGTTCTCCTCGAGATAAGCGTTATATTGCTTAATACAAAACACGAATTACTTTTCCGTTCATATTTTGTAAATAATTTTAAAATGTAAAAAATTTTCTACTCGATCTTTTCAGCAAATAAGTGGATTAGTTTTATGTATTTTGCTATTAAATCTCGGAATGTAAATTTTAAAAAAATCCTACTTTAAACTGATAAGATCTTAAGAACAAATAAAAAGAAAAAGATATAGCGATGATCATTCTATGTTACATCATTTTTAAACGATTTATTAAAGAAGGATATGTCTAATATAGTAGTTCTACATATAATTTAACCTTTTTTTTCCCCTTTCTTTTTGCAAAATTTCAACCTTGTAATTTTCCACGCTTGCTGGGTTTCAAAGAAAATAATGCAGCTGATACTTAATTTCTTGATAACAGTGAGATAATGTATAGATAATTAGCATTTGATTAGGGTTATATGCTTTTAATTTCTATTTTAGAATTTAACTTTTTACCACTTTCGAGAAGGTGTTTAATTTTTTATATTACATTAAATTGGAAATTCCGACGGATGTTTTGATATGGGATTATATCCTGCTACTAGTTAAATCTAATAGTTTTCTGTTACCAAACATTTGGCAATTTTGTTTATTAAAATTTTGAAAATAAACTTTATGGATCGATTTATTACGTTATTTGCCACATAATTTAGGTCTATACATACAGTTAAATATGGCAACGATCTATTTCTATACCAAGCTGGTTATATCAACTAGGAAATAGCTTGGGGGTATCAGTGCACTAGAAAAATGATTTCCTGCCATTTAAAGAATTTGATCAAATTTATACACTATTCAATATTAAGATCTATTGGATAGATTTTCAAAAGGTTTAATTGAATCAAGGACTTTGTAGTCCGAGATACTGTCGAAAAATTCTGATTTGCAATGCCATTTTTTTGTAATGACCGTAACAATAATAAATTATACAAATTACTATTGAAATCTAATTGTGTGTATTTTCTTAGTTAATAGAAAATATACAGATATTGAATGATTAGATTTAATTATCGTGGTTTTGTTTATTCAGGCAGTAAGTAGATATTGATAGGACTTTGACGTACCTGGTCATTGATAAAAGCTGCTTTTATCTTGCCGACGAATTTCTATACTTCCGGCCAGATGTCGATCACGTAACCTATTTTTAATCATGTGACCCAGAAGAATATCAAAAACAAGAGCAAAAATGTTTCTTTTTCTTTTCAAATCAACCATTGAATTAATCAGAAAACATCTTCAGCTATTCAGCAGTCAGGATCATTTTTATATTCATTTCTAGAATTATTCTGGAATTTACAGTTACTTTTCACAGATTAAAAAAAATTTAACTAATAAAGTGAAAGCAATCGATTCTTAAATTTTATTTAAAAATTTTTCATTAGATACAGTAATAATGTTTTCCTTTAAAGCCTTTTAAAATCATATAGCTTATCTTCACTTAATTACTTTCATCACTATCATTAAATAATTGTGGAAACTAAAAAATTATAAGCCTGAAGTACAATAATTCTTACTACTGTGCATAGTTACAGCAATATAAGATTATCGTTGCAATAACTAATTAGTATGTTGACCACAAATGACATCCATTATCAAAAGTAAAGTATTCTCTGTAATCTCCCACTTGACTGCAATCTTTCTCCTCAGGTATTTATTCCCGTCTTTGATCACTATTCATCTGACTACATTATCGATGACGAGTATATTTGCACAAACCACTACATTTATAGTGATCCTTGCTGCTCTCGATGAGATGATTTTGCAACTAGATAACCTTACCTATATTATGAGGTCAAGTCGAGTGTCTATCTGGCAACAGTTCAACATAGCTGAGAAGGAAGGAAACAGTAATTAGCACTCCCGTTCAGACGACCTAGTACATATAGGCATATATATATATATATATATTGTCCTTTCTGGAAATTACCATTAAATTTTTTGTCATTAAATTTATAAATTTTAAATATATTAAATGCAAATGAGCATTGAGAAAACTTCCATGTAATACGATAAGCTTTTTATTATTAGAATACCACGAACGATATCAAAAACGTGAATGATGAAGATTAATTAGAAAACATGCTAGGAAAAGAGTAAAAGGTGAATGATATGTGGGTCGCGTTCCCCTTTCTAGTGTTACAGTCTTGTCAATCGCTAAGAAGCCAGCCTTACAGGCTTTAAGGCCAGCGGTCATTGACAACGACTTTCACAGCCTCCGTCAAGGCCGTTGGATCAAGGTCATCGAACAATAAAAACATGTTTCTATAAATATTAAAAGCCATTGTTTTCGTTTCCGTGGACAATCAGTCGCCAGACGGGTTCGAGCTTAATTCCATCGTGAAGTCGGATATGATCAGGATATGTTCAGCCTGAGGTCGTAGAACTTCTAAAGACCAGAACCATTTACATAACAATCTAAAGATTTTCTATGTAAATGTTTTAACCCTTCTTTTATTTTTGAACAATTTACTTACTTTAAAAAATATCTTAGTAATAAAAAAAAATATTTATAAAATATCAACTCTATTAAACTTGTTGAAGAAAATATGAAAGTTGCATATTAATGTAATATTGTCTTTTGTTATTATTTCGTTCATTGAACTTTCTTCGTAATGAATATGTTCATTAGCTTTCACAAGCGCAAAATATTTTATCTGTAGGCTATAATTAAATGATGCAATACATCAAATTGATTCTGTAAAACGAAAAGCAATATACAGGCTATTCAATAGACACTGAACTTTACACAAAATGAAAATGCGCGCTTATTGTTTCCATAAAAATGAAATAAATCAAAGTTTTAAATACTCCGAATTTCAAACTTGACATAAACAGAACAGTTGAAATGAAATCTATATTGTCAAACCTTGAAACTTGAAAAATAAAATTGAAATGACGAGAGGCAAAAAATCCTAGAACATTTTTGTATTGTCAAAGGTTAATCAACTATGCAAACCTCAAGACAGAACAATACTGATTATTCAATTTGCGTTCCATAAATTGAATAATCAGTATTAAAAAAAAATTATTGTTTTGTCAATCAACAGAATTAACTCGACATGTCATTTATTAGCTGTAGTTCAAAACAATTTTCGAGAAAGATTATGATTATTTTTCGGATTAAACAGGAGGAAAATACTTTTATGCTATTGAAGTCAAAGTTATTTACATATTTTTTTAAAAATTATATCATTTGACAAGACAATACTCTTTAAATTATAATCTTTATATTATTTTTATTTGACTTTTCGACGTTGAAACGACTATTTTATCAACTGTAGAATATCGTGATAATTATTAATATAATATATTTAATTAAAATTCAATTTATTACCACTACAAAACATTACAACGTGTCTTAAATTTCATCGGTGTGAGACTTTTAATGCGTATCAAAGTGCAATCTGTGAAAATACAGTAATAAGTTTTAAATGTCGCGTCGGAAAAGTTTCAACAAGTTTTTATAATTTGTAAGCTTATAAAAACTTTTCGTGCATTGAAATATTGATATCAAGCAGTTGCAGAAGTATTTTTATCATCGCATGATCATCCATCTGTAACTTATAATGTTTAATGGTGAAAGAACGTTGTTTTATATTCATATTATTCTTTAAAACGCATTAATCGAATTCTAAACAGGTTCTGAAAATATTATCAGCATGCCAGCTCCTAAATACTCTTTTAAATTACAATGCTTATTTCTCAATTCAAATTCTTCAGCCTTTGTTCTTTCAATTCAACAATAAAAAATGATTTGACCTTCATTAACTGATTGGCAATATACAGTCTATTTGGTCATAAAGGAAATACTGCGCTCTTTTTTCATATAATTATACCTAATAAAAATACATAACAAAGAAATAGATATTCCATGCTGATTAATGAGTATAATTCCAAGAATAAGTTTTTAAAAATATTTTCAAATTCAAATATTACATGTCTAAAATTAGAGAATTAATGCGAATTTTAGTATACTTTGCATATTATATAACCTGTCTTAATTCAATAAAGTTTAATTGTACGTGCTCTTTATCATTCCCTTGCTTCGTAATTAATAATATAAATTGATAAATCTACATGCCATTTTGCTTTCTTACAAAAACTATTACAGTTAATTGCCGACTCAAGTGCGAAGGCTCGTTGCATTCTATGTAATTAATATATAATTTATCTATCGTGTAAGAATTCACAAATCGCTAGTTTTTATTTGATAATATAATATAATTAAGTAAAAGAAAATCGTTAAATAAAATTAATTTTTTTTGTACAAATCATTAAGATATTTATAATTTTAATAATGTTAGGTAGTGACATTAACGATTAACATTGATGATATCTGTAATATATTTCAATTAAACACTTTAAACAACAATTATCAATTGTCTATTCAAGGAAACTTTTTTTTAAAGTCAGCAAACGTTTAAAAAAATTAAATTATTGAATAAAATAGTGTAAAATGTAATTTTCATAAATTATATATTATTTTGTTAAAATAATTTTACGTATTTGTTTAGATGTATGGCCAATATAAAGAGGATCTAGAAGCGTATGCAAAAGCGGAAGCACGAAGAATAAAATCACTTCAAAAGTTACGTAAAAAGGAAGAAGCATTACGTCAAAAAGAATTGCAATCATATAGAAGTAAATGGCAAAGGAAATGTGCTGGTAAGACCAATAGAAAGATCATAAAATAATAAAGAAACTAAATTTGAATTTACATAAAATAATTCCAAGTGAACCTATTCGCTTTAGAACAGAGAAAATTTGTTAATGTATTAAACTTGTATACAGTTTTTCTTTAAACATTGTCATTTTATAAGTGATGACTGTATGATATTTATAAATGCAATAGAAATTAAATCATATTTCACCATTTATGTACAGAAATTAAATAAATGGTTGTCGAAATCATGACATTATAAAAGAAACAGTATTTTCTTAGACGAGAAGTTTTCGATTATATAACTGAAAAATCTACTTTTGGAAAATCATTTATTGTTTTATACTGAGATAGGAGAAGTAAAAGTCATTTCGTATTAGATTAAATCGAAATGATGAATTTTTAAATTTATAAAACGATTTCTAAACAAAATAACAGGAATTTCTTTTTTCTGAGTTCATTTTTACAACGGCCGGATGGCCGTGCTGTTACTGTTTCAGCCTATCACTCTGATGAGCCAAGAATGAACCCTGACGGGTCGAATAATCCCAGAATTTTTTCGGGCCGTTCTGGATAAAGTGGATCTGTCTTATCACGGGTCTGATTGAGACCACTAAGGGTTTAATTATTTTTATAGTTTTACTTTTCCAATAAATCATATAACTATAAAATTTACTGATATAAAATATTCTTTATTAGAGATAAAAGTATAGCCTATTATATTTAAATTTGATAAATATATACGAGATGGCATTCATATATTTTATTAAAATTTCTATATCATAATATAAATAATCTATAATATATTATTACAAATATTTGAATTGGTATTTCGTAATAGGTTTTAAATTTAGTGTCAAATACATACACGGAATATTTATATCAAATGCCAAATCACGAGACTGGCATTTAATGAATTGAATATTAAGTACAAAATTATATTTTTATCTAATAAAATAAAGAAATGGAAGTTTTCGTGTAAGTTTAACGTAACTTTAATATATATTTACTATAAATTTTATACTAAAAATGATTGTGAATTAATTAATAATTACAAAAATGACTTCAATTCTTCTTTTGACGAATGTCCGGCTCAAAACTAAAATAGAAAGCGGTAAAAGTTAAGTTTACTTAACACCGTTAACGATCTACTTGGGGTTGATATAGTATCACTTTTACCGCTCTGTACTTTTCGGTCCTGTTTACATTTACTCTTAGTTTTACAACAATGATTTACGTACACTAAAAATAAATACGATAAGGAATCAAATTCTCCATTTCTAATAAGAATTTATTACGATCTATTTATTGAATTTAGGTTAATTTTCTTATTCGTTAGTTACAAATTTCAAATTCCGTCCTTTTAATTAAGTTATTCAAAAGTTTTTGAAGCAACAGAATTTTATTTCTCTTTCGTGTTTTTCGACACAAACACGAAAGATAAATGAAAATATATTGCATTATGTTTGAAAGCGTATTTTATGTTTTTAAAATGGAATTCTATACATAAAAAATAAAATATTTTATTGATATTGCTATATATAAGTAGGGATGGATCTAGGCAGTGGTGGGGGCGATCGCTCCTATTTTTATTGTTAACATGAATTTCATTATATTTTTTATATGATATATTTATATTTAATTTGTTTGTATCATTACTTCTCCGTTTTCTTACATTTCTATGTTGTTTAAGTTTACGTAATTTATTTAAAATGATTATTAAAGTAATAAAATTTTTATATAAGATACTTGCTCCTGATCCGCCTTTGTATAAGGATTCATTTATGTAATCGTTTACATAGTGCAATACTAACTTAATACAAGTCTAAATTTATTTTCTATACAATAGGCCTACTTTATTTCTCTCATACAGTCTTAATATCGTATAAAAATTCACGTCATTTGTGTAGAAATGTTCATTAAATTTCTCATATCAGTTAGATATTTCGAAGAATATTTGATAAAAGTCAATTAAGCATAGGGGGCCTACATTAAATAATACCTGGCATATAAACTTTGGAACAATACAGACTAAATAATGTTATTCGTGTTTTACAAAAATTTATAGTTTTGAGAGGATTTTACGATAAATTGTTTTTCTTATTGTAAAATAATTTGTAGCTTTTCGGTTTATTCCATAGGAATATCATTTATACTGTAAATAAATAACAGTATTACAAAATCAGGTTTTAAGAATTTTATCAATAAAATAGACTTATTCAAATTTAAAACTGAATTAAATTTATATTTTAGCTTAGTTTTCTTTTTGTATTTTCTATAAATATTATTGATATATGGCCTATACAAAATCTATTTGTAGGTATTATAAGAATAAAAAAATTATAATATAGTATAGATAAGAATATTATATTATTTAAAAGTAAAGTTTATACGTGGTTTATACTTTTTAAAACTACTTTTGATAATCCTTGTTTTTTCCTTTCTATTCTATTCATCTATGCTTGTCGTCTCCTTTGTGTTTGAACAAAAATTGAGGTTAGCTGTATAATTCGCAAGTCTCAGCCAAGAAAAATCTAATCTCACCCAAATTAGTGTTTATAAAACGAGAATTTTATGTCCTCTACATACAAATAAGTGACCATTGATGCAATAATTTAGCTTGCAATGATGCTTCAATTTTATGTGAATGTTTTCAATATTTTCTTTTCATCATTTTTGTTCAAATATTATTGGAAATAGACTCTATAAGTTAAGAATGTATATAATTTATCATAGTTATTCGATTTTATTTGATATTAAATTTTAAAAAAGCATAATAAAAATATTACAATAGTTTATTGCGTACATATTTCATATAATATCGCATCAAAGAAGAGGTATGGGAAAGATTAACAAATCAATCTTTATATATCTTCTCTTTGAAAATAGTCAAATAGTTCGTTTTACAAATATAGTTGATAGACTCATTATAAAGTGTGAGAATATGGGTTCGAAGTAACAACAAATTTCAGCCCCGGATATGTATAATATATGCATATTGGATTTTATCTAATAAAATATGTCGATATGTACCGAATATGTCGGGCCCCGTCCCCTACGGTTGAAGACTGACATATCCGGGATAGACCATCCCGAAAAATTCCTGAATATTTGCCTGGATTAGATACCGGATCTCCCAGAGCGGTAGAAGGGCGCTATAACTATTTCGGTCATCCTACCGACAAACTTTTCGTAGAGGCTCCAGATATCCAGAATAATGATTTTATAAAATTTCAGAGAATAATCTAAATGTTACTCTATATAGGAAGTATTGCGGCATGATTTATTTATATGTCATTATCATTTACTCCATAGCTCTAGATTTTCTTGGACGATTCTAATCATTTAAATGTCAGAATTTAAAAACAGTATCTTAGAAATAAAGAATAAAATTTAAAAAATTTATTTTAAGGTGTTTTATAATAATTGTTATTGACAGAAGATTAAAGATATCAATCATTGCAACCACGTGGTCATGATTCCCACGTGGTCATGACGGTGTTATTTACAATTTAATATTGTGTCAAATATGTCCGTTTCTATTTATGAATTTCTATTCATTTATTGTTATAGAGAGGTGAGAACTGTATTTTTAATAAATTTATAACGATATTGTTTCTAGAATTATAGAAATTTATAAAATAAAATACAGTTCTTTACTTTGTTTACATATTTTTTTCATTAAATATTTTTAATATTAAGGTAAGTGAGGGAAATAACAGATTTTTTTTTACATTTAGAATAGCTACAACACTATATGGAATGCGCGTTTTCATATATCAAGTAGACTGAAAATATTTTTAATACTTGATTTAAAGTTCTAAAATAAAATTCTCTAACAGGTTCAATCAGTAATACTCAAATCTTTTTTATGAATATATAAATAAATGTAACATAATTGCATAGCTATTTTTACAGAAAGCATATATAAAACATGGAATTATTGAAGTACACTGCATTATAGAATTAGGATTTTGGCTATGTAAAATTTAAATAAAGAAATGTTTATATTAATTAATTTACATCTAATAATTTAATAAAACTTGTTTTTAACTAAGCATAAAAGATTATTGGTGTTCAATAATTTTGATCTTTTACTATAGCTTACAATAGCTTTTCATTATTTTTAAAATAAACCTTGTTTGAATCATCTTAAAATCAGTTTGGTTAATTTAAATCATTTTATAATATATTCTTTTCACTTTTCATACAGTTTTGAAATACTTAAATTAATTCTAATGCATTTATAAATGAAAACAAAATAATTTTTTTAATATTAAGCTTTTAAATTTTAGAACAGAATAGTTATAGAAATATTATCTATTAATATTCAAGACAAGTTTCTATATGGAATTTAAAAATTGCATGTTTATAATTGGCAATATTAATTTAATTATAAATTTTAATTGGCACTTTCTGTTACAAATGTAACAGAAACTGCCAATTATGATATTTGTAACAGAATGATTTAAGTTTCTAAATATAAATTATGTACAAATTAAGAGTTTTTTTTAATTGTTAGTTTATAAATAAGATTATTTTATAATTCATTTTAAAAATCGCTTTTGGATGTTATCAAATTTACTTTCTAGAAATTTTTCTAATTCATGATTAGTATTTTTTTATATAAATTATGATATAAAAATTTTTTTAAAATTATCCTTATTATTATGTTGATAGTTATTTTGTATTTTAGTTTCATAATAAAAGAACTGATAAATTTGGTATGCATTGTTAGAAAATTATAAAAATATGTTATCAGTTTTTTAATTTTGTTGAATATTAAACTATGTAATTGTATATACATATACAGTTATAATGTATAGGTATAACTTTATTGTAACAATGAAATTTATTTTACTTTATTAATGGCTTTTAAATGACTCATTTCCTTTTTTAAACTAATAAAAATCGTAACACTACAGATCAATTTTCAAGAATATGGAATTTGACTTTTGCCCGTGTTGGAGAAGATTGGGTATTTCTTGCATTGCTTGGTATTATATCTTCATTACTTAGTTTTGCTATGGATCATGCAATATCAATATGTCAGAGGAGTAAGATGTGTCTTATTATTTAATACAGAATTATAATATATTCAAAGTTACAAAATATATTTATAACAATTTTTAATTTAAAATAGCTCGGATTTGGTTGTATAGAGACCTAGCATTACATCCTGTTCTTCAATATTTAGCATGGCTTGCTTTTCCTTTGACTTTAATTTTATTTTCTGCGGGTTTTGTACATGTTGTAGCTCCACAAGCAATAGGTAAGTTGCTCAATTATTTTGTTTAATTTTCTTGATTCACAAACATATTTTCAATATTCTTGTTGCCTTAGATATGAATTAGGATGGAAAAATATTAATGAATTTTTATTCAAAAATCTGATTTATCATATATTATTATGGTATTTAAAAACATAAGAATAATCTAAATTTATGATGTTTTAGGCTCTGGAATACCTGAAATGAAAACTGTATTAAGAGGTGTTGTTTTGAAAGAATATTTAACCTTTAGGACTTTGGTATCCAAGATGATTGGATTGACTTGTTCTCTAGGAAGTGGTATGCCATTAGGAAAAGAGGTTAGTAATAGTGCATACATTACAGAAATGAAACAGTTACAAAACAAAATTACTTAACAGAATAAATTTATATCATAACAGTGAAATTCTCATAAATATATTTTTTATTTCATAATAAAAAAATTTTAATATGCATGAAATTGTATTTTTTACAAATTTAAATCATAATTTGAAAATTTATTTATTTTTTAAAATGTTTACATTATATTTGCTGTATTTTATAAAATTTATTCTGTCTGTCTCATTTATATGTAGCAACTGAATTTTTTTAATTGTTAAAATTTTAATTAATATACTTAATTACAAGATGCATTTATAATATAATTATGTAATTCATATCAACGTCTCATCCAATACATATGTAAACAGTCTGATTATTATTTACCAATGTGTATGTATATGCACATATAAACATTTCTATAAAATATATTTATGGTACATTATGCCTTTTCCTTTGTGGAGTTGGCAATGTCTATCGAAGCAAATGCATTAATGTAATTTTCATTAACTTTTAAAATATTAAATACTAATATTCTCTTCATCAATTACTGAAGAGTAGCTAATATGCAAATAGGTCCTCTATCGTCTTCTCAGGGACCATTCGTACATGTTGCAAGTATGGTAGCTGCATTGCTGAGTAGAATGGTGACTTCATTTAAAGGAATTTACGAGGTGAGATTCTTAATTATATTTTTGAATAGTAATATATGGTTTAATTTTTATTATTATAAATTTATTCATACTATTACAAATTGAATTAATATTTTGTAACTAATATCCAAGTCAATTTTTTAAACTTTATATACAATCAGAGACTAGAATAAATTGTTATTGAAATTAATAACAAATACGAGGATATTAAATTATTTAAATAGCTTTAGAAGAGATCTTGATAAGAAATAGAAAGGTGTTTTTACATATGTGCTAAATGAAAAATATGAATCTATATTGTAAGACTCCATCTAACAAACTTTTAAATAAATAAAGAAAAACTAGCATCCAAACAAGGAGTCCAGAAAAATCTTCACTTAATAAAGATTTTTTGAGACCATTAAATGAGATGTAATGGTTTTTGTAGACTTTGTTTTGCTGCTACTGTTTCTTTATTTATTTAAGAAATGATAAATTAAAAATCAATTATAATTTTTCATATAGTAAAAAAACCTTGGTTTATTAAGTTTTTAGTTTTCATTATTGATTTTTATCACTTTTAATATGTACTTTTTGAGTTGAAATTTTATTCAGTTAAACTTAGCAGGAAATTGTTTTCAAATATACATTTCTAATTGAATATTTGTATTAATCTCTTTTATTAAACTAAAATTAAATATTGAATATTACAAATTTATTTAAAATTAGACAGAATATTTAAGTGAAAATTATATTATCTTTAATTAGAAATGTTTTTGCCTAATATTCTGTCCTTGTTCAACTTACAGGTATACTGAAGAATATATAACATTCTTCAATATATTTGTAAGCTGAAGATAGAATAATGATAAAAAATATTTCTGATTAAAGGAATATATTTTTTTGCTTTTTTAAGTAAGCAGTATATCTAATTTTAATTTCAATATGGTGCTAAATTTCACCCATTTTTATTGCATATTTATTCATTTGATAAATAGGGAAATATGTTAAGAAGTAAAAAAAAAGGAGAATATATTTAATGAAATTTTTTAAAATAGTTATTCTTGGTAATTTACAATGAAGAAAAGAGAAATATCTAATCTGAACAGAATTTTAAAAATAATGATATACAAAAATTTTAAAAGTTTAAGAATAGCTTTATCATTCCACCAGACAGAGTAGTTGAAATTACAGTATTTATACTTCTTTAGTAATGATAACAATAGATAATAATCAAACTGTTGTTAAAAATGACACATACTTTTTTATGCACAATCTGATTATCTAAAAAATTAGCATAATTTTTTGTTTTGAGTTTTTATCATAATTCTTGTGATTTAACTTGTCATTAAGTTTTTAGTTAAGTTTGTATTTTCCTTAGTAATGATTAATTGAAAATACTTGGTTGTGTTTAATAAAACATATTATTGTTATTCTGCATCTAGGATATTTTTCCTAGTCTAGTCACTTAATTTTTTTCCCCTATAATTTATTTGTAGATTATAAAATGATTAAAGTAATACAGCTAGCATATTTCCTCTAAATAATTAGATCAGGCTATTTCAGCATTGATGTATTCTAGTTATACCCTTTCATAAACTGATTATATGACATTTAAACCTGTAAATGAATGAATATGAAGCCTAAATTAATAACATTTTATAGCTATTTTCAATTTCAAATATTTATATAAAAAATTTTGTTTATCAAAATTTTATCTTTGACTTATTTTGCTAACCATTAACAACAAAACCAAGTTTATAGAGAATTTTTACCAATTTATACACACTTTAAAGCAAAAATTTAATTAAGAAAATCTACCAGTAATGTTTTAGTTAATCTAATATAATGTAAATTATTCATGATAATCATTAATATGCTTAGATTTATTTATATAATATTATTATTTTTAAGACAAATCAACATTCATCAACATAAATTAAATTTAACATTATCATTTAATTAATCAGCATTCTTCTTCTCATGAAAGTCATTCTTTTTATTATCTTCTTTATAAATTATTTTACAAAACTTTTACCTTCAAAAACAAGAAAAAGATTTAAGAAAACAGTAAAGTGTATTGTGTAAAGATTGATGTAGGGATTCAAATAATGCATTTAAAATCTTTTGTAGTCCATCAGAGACAAAGGAAACAAACAGAAGTGTAAAAAGCCAGATGACATTTGGCAAGTTTCACCTTATTGTAAAAATCTTTGATTCAAAAACCTTCTGAATTTGCTACATCTATTTTAGTTTTTATTTATTTATTATTGTAAATAAATAAATCAAGCAAAAATTACAAGTTATTATTTTTTAATTCATTAGTCAATGATTTTATTTGAATAGCATTTATAAAAATAAATAGTTCATGCATACAGTAGNCTTTTACAGTATCATGCACATTGATTTATTAGATTTTCAATCCATTTCATTAATACAATTTAGAACAGAGGCAGACAATGCAGAAAAATTTCTCATAATCTCTGATCATATATTTATGTAACTTATATGAAGAAAGTAAAACTTTTTAAAAACATGAACATATTTGATAATTGAATTAATTAAATTTCAGTAATATTTAATTAAAAACTGCCTGGGTAAAGTTGTCAAATTTATTGAAAACTTTCATATATTTGCATGTTTATAAAAATTATACTGATTACATTTAAATATCTATATAAGCATAGAATGCATTGTAGTTTAGAGAAAGCCTCCAAAATAAAAATGTTTTAATTTTTACCTTCAATTATCTCTATCAATCACTTCTTGAAAAGATTAAAAATATAATTGAAATTATTCAAACTGATAAATCAGTTTTTGGAACTGTCTCAAGACCTTTTTGATTTGAATTAATTCAACATAACTCTTGCTGATAAGTTTGAATATTAATATTACTTTAATATATAAGCAGGTCACCTTTATATCATATGTTAGGAAACATATTTTGAGTGTAGAAATTGATTGATTAAAATTAGAAAATATTTAAAATGTAAAAAGGCCTGTTAATCAGATATAAATTATATTAGCAAATTAATAAAGATTATAAAAAACAGTTGTTAAGACAGATTTAAGCTGTTAATTTTTGGAAGCTATCACTTGAGTCTGAAATCAGTTAGTAGAATTTCAGAGTAATTGAAACATTGATAGTAGAATAAGATATGATTTCAGTTTAATCATCATGTAAATACTCCAAAATTTTGGCAACTATGAGAACTTGTAGAAACACACCTCTGCAAACCTCACTGGTGTCCAGTGACAGATTTCAAGGGTTAACAAATGTTTTTGAGCTTCTTCTGAGCTCTACTTCAGGTTTTCTGCATTCTATGAATGGAACACATATCAAAGACTTTGATTGATTTTAAACAACCAAAGTCTTCGATATGTGTTCAATACAAAGAAGGAGCCCAAAAACATTTGTTAACCCATGAAATCTGTCACTGGACATTGGTGAGGTTTTGCAGAGGTGCATTATACAATAAGTGGAGTGTGAAGATGAAAGAACTTATAGAAAAGTTTAGCAGAAATATATTGAAAGGCTCTCCAAGAAGTTAATAGTTTGAATATTTTACTCTCCTAGGTTTTTAATCATTTTTAACAGTATTGTAATATATTTATACCTATTTAATGATCCTTTCCCAGAATAGTTTAGAATATTACAAAGCAATTTCTGAATTCAAAATTTAAGAATATTTGACAAATAACATGTTAAGAAAGGAAGAAATAGAAGGCCTCCTTGAATCTTTCTTTTCTCTACACAATTTGTATTAATTTTTGTTTTTGCTCCTACCAACATTTCTTTTCTTCAATCTCCTTCTCAATAACAGATCCAGAAATATTCAAAAGAGGGCTAATTCAAAAATTAAAAATACGAAAATAATTAATAAGTATCTAAGCATCTTTTATTACATATGCACAATGATTGTATTGCAGATGATCTGATAAACCAAATTTGCCCTCATAAATGTTTTTTGTGTCAATTGGGAGGGCAAGCCCTTTAGCTCTACCCTTGGATCTGCCATTGCACCTTCTTGATTTGTTATGTTTTACAGTATCATGCACATTGATTTTATAGTATCATGCACATTGATTTTATAGTATCACAACTTTTACAGTATCATGCACATTGATTTATTAGATTTTCAATCCATTCCATTAATACAATTTAGAACAGAGGCAGACATGTCTTTTAAAATAGTATCCATATTCTGATCCATGGAACTCATCATCAGTTCTGGAGCATCTTTCTCCAATATTGAATGATTGAGATCTCTTTTCTTNTAATTCAAAAATTAAAAATACGAAAATAATTAATAAGTATCTAAGCATCTTTTATTACATATGCACAATGATTGTATTGCAGATGATCTGATAAACCAAATTTGCCCTCATAAATGTTTTTTGTGTCAATTGGGAGGGCAAGCCCTTTGGCTCTACCCTTGGATCTGCCATTGCACCTTCTTCTTGATTTGTTATGTTTTGAACTTTTACAGTATCCTGCACATTGATTTATTAGATTTTCAATCCATTTCATTAATACAATTTAGAACAGAGGCAGACATATCTTTTAAAATAGTATCCATATTCTGATCCATGGAACTCATCATCAGTTCTGGAGCATCTTTCTCCAATATTGAATGATTGAGATCTCTTTTCTTTCTCTTAATTTTAGGAGGAATGCTTAAAATGATTTGCTTTATAGAATAAAGAAGCAAACATTAGAGAAGAAATAACCATTTAATATAACAATAATATAAATAAAATATTTTCTCTGACATAAAATAACATGTAAGAACTTTTTATTTTATTGCACAGAAATGAGAAAGTAAAAATTCTAGATTTACTGATCAATTTATATGATTTATAGATCATTGGAATTAATAAATGATTTATCTATTTTTATTGCATATTATTACATTATAATATAATAGATTTTACTTCTATATTTTAGAATGAGTCAAGAACTACTGAAATGTTAGCAGCAGCTTGTGCAGTTGGTGTTGCTTGCAGTTTTGCTGCTCCAATTGGAGGTAATCTTATTATAATAATAAATTTATATTTTCAAATATTTGTTGTAATATTATGATTTATTAATTTTATTGATAATATAGAAACATGAATGATTTTTAAAAAGTTTTGAATAATATTGATACTGTGGTAATTTGTTGAAAAAACAAATTACACAGTATCAATATTATTCAAAACTTATTATTCAAAGGTTAACCTTCAAAGGTCAAAAACTTATTATTAATATTATTCAAAAAATTATTATTCAAAACAATTTTTAATGAAAAGAATAATTTCTTTTAAAATAGAAGACTATGTAAATTTTTTAAATAATTTTATTTTTAGGTTTAAAACTATTCAATAGTATAATTCAGCTTAAAAATCATTTCATTGAATGCAAAACTCTTTTAATGATTGATTGTTTTGGAAATGAATTTAAAGATAATGTATTTTGATTTTTATTCAGTGATCATTCTTTACTTTGACTCAAATACCTTATGCTTCTGAGAAGTAACATTTATTATCCTATATGTGTTTTCTACCTGCTTCACAGGTCATCATCAGGTATTTTTGAAATTCTTGATATGTTTCTTTGCACTGGTTCCAGGTTCGNCATTGCACCTTCTTGATTTGTTATGTTTTACAGTATCATGCACATTGATTTTATAGTATCATGCACATTGATTTTATAGTATCACAACTTTTACAGTATCATGCACATTGATTTATTAGATTTTCAATCCATTCCATTAATACAATTTAGAACAGAGGCAGACATGTCTTTTAAAATAGTATCCATATTCTGATCCATGGAACTCATCATCAGTTCTGGAGCATCTTTCTCCAATATTGAATGATTGAGATCTCTTTTCTTTCTCTTAATTTTAGGAGGAATGCTTAAAATGATTTGCTTTATAGAATAAAGAAGCAAACATTAGAGAAGAAATAACCATTTAATATAACAATAATATAAATAAAATATTTTCTCTGACATAAAATAACATGTAAGAACTTTTTATTTTATTGCACAGAAATGAGAAAGTAAAAATTCTAGATTTACTGATCAATTTATATGATTTATAGATCATTGGAATTAATAAATGATTTATCTATTTTTATTGCATATTATTACATTATAATATAATAGATTTTACTTCTATATTTTAGAATGAGTCAAGAACTACTGAAATGTTAGCAGCAGCTTGTGCAGTTGGTGTTGCTTGCAGTTTTGCTGCTCCAATTGGAGGTAATCTTATTATAATAATAAATTTATATTTTCAAATATTTGTTGTAATATTATGATTTATTAATTTTATTGATAATATAGAAACATGAATGATTTTTAAAAAGTTTTGAATAATATTGATACTGTGGTAATTTGTTGAAAAAACAAATTACACAGTATCAATATTATTCAAAACTTATTATTCAAAGGTTAACCTTCAAAGGTCAAAAACTTATTATTAATATTATTCAAAAAATTATTATTCAAAACAATTTTTAATGAAAAGAATAATTTCTTTTAAAATAGAAGACTATGTAAATTTTTTAAATAATTTTATTTTTAGGTTTAAAACTATTCAATAGTATAATTCAGCTTAAAAATCATTTCATTGAATGCAAAACTCTTTTAATGATTGATTGTTTTGGAAATGAATTTAAAGATAATGTATTTTGATTTTTATTCAGTGATCATTCTTTACTTTGACTCAAATACCTTATGCTTCTGAGAAGTAACATTTATTATCCTATATGTGTTTTCTACCTGCTTCACAGGTCATCATCAGGTATTTTTGAAATTCTTGATATGTTTCTTTGCACTGGTTCCAGGTTCGAATGTTTATGTGAAACAAAATTCAAATTTCTATATCCATTCAAACAATTCGTTTAAATACAAAAATATAAATGATAAATAGAACCATTGCTAGATCCTTAGGATTTAAAATGGGAATCAGTGAAAACTTAATAAGATCGTACTCAATACCTAACAAAAGAAAGGAAAAGAGACTACAAACAAAGAAATTACTAAATTCACATACAGTGGAGGAATGTCCATTATAATGAAGGAGGTAGCCAACTACAAGAATACAAGATTGGTTTATAAATGGGCTCCCACGATTTATAGTCTTCTTAGGAACAACAAAGATAGGATCAAGGAGGAGCAGTCTGGGGTGTACAGAATACAATACAAAAATGATTAGCTAGAGCTGAATAAAGAATACATAGGGGTCATCAACAGGAATTTGAGTAAAAGGCTTAAGGAGCATGTGTACAATATAAGTAAAGGGCACTTCAATACAGCACTATCTAAGGTGGCACAAACTGAAGGTTCAGTAATTGATTGAAATGAAGCTAGAATTATTAGACAGGTGCGCTCACTGTCTTTAGCAATGACTGTGGAGAAATTTGAAATATACAGATCAGGCGCTAAGGGCAAATGTTTGAACTATAAAGATGCCACAAATTTACCAACAGCATGGAAATATATGATTGATAATAACCCGGTATAATTGGTTATACAGCATGCACTCGGTCCATATACAGTGGGTGATTGGTTAACGAACAAATCGGATAACGAACACTTTCGCGAAAGATTTTTGTGATCGGACAACGAACACATGATCGGATAACGAACACTTCACTGAACAGACATAAAAAGATGCGACGAAAATAGCAAATACCGACTGATTTTCCTTTGTTTTCAGGTAACTTTTTGGAGCGCGGGAGACCTCAACGTCGACGCTCAACCTGATAATATACTGATTAGATAGTATCCCTCGAACTTTGAAATACTCCCTTGTAATTCCAACCTTTTATTTTCTGACAAACAATTCTTTTATAGTATTCGCGAGACTGTCGGGCTGGCACTCATTAAGTTTTGTGTCGGTTTTTATTTTCGAAAGGTGAGAGTATAATAGCAAAGGTAGAGAGTGCGCAAAAGATGTCTGATGTTGCTGGACAGTATGGCTTGAACAGGTCTACAGTAGGCCGCAGTTCAATCTTATCTAAGAAAGATACTGTATTATCAAGAAGACTCAAGCAGCTAAAGGAATAACAAAAATCACATCTGAGAAATAAAGAACAATGAAGAGCTCATAATGGAACCTGAAACGGATCTGACGACAGAAGAACGTCAAGAACTCTTGAATAGAGAACACCAAGAAACTCGGCAAGATATGTTTTATTCTGAAAAAGAGGATTAATGCCGATATCTGCTATTAATTAAAGATCTTTTGAAGAAATGGGGGATGTCAGATCAACGGTCTTAGAATGGCATACAAACCAGGTTGAGGTTAATAGGCTTGGGGATCTCTACAATTACAATGCTATTAATTACTTCTGAAAAATCCCGAAGAAGAGAGAAAAGCAATCGACATTAGACAGATTATTTAACCCCCACAAAAAAAAAACCATAACTAATAAAAATGCACATCTGTGTATACATATAAATAAACGTAGTAAGAAAGTATATATTTTTTATTTTGGGATGTCTCCAGAACGAATTAATCAAATTCCCATACAAACCTATGGTAAATTCATAATCGGTTAACGAACAATTCGGATAGCGAACAAAGTCTTGGAATGGATTATGTTCGTTAACCGATCACCCACTGTAATTATATTTATTGCATGGATATATATTTTTATTGCATTTTATGTTAATTTACTTTATTTATTTTGTTTTATTTTATGTTATTTACTTTACTTGGATCCATGTATTTAATTAGTTCTATTTATCATTTATATTTTTGTATTTAAACGAATTGTTCGAATGGATATAGAAATTTGAATTTTGTTTCACATAAACGTTCAAACCTGGAACCGGTGCAAAGAAATGTTCCAAGAATTTCAAAAATACCTGATGATGACCTGTGGAGCAGGTAGAAAATGTTTGTAGGATAATAAATATTACTTTTCGGAAGCATAAGGTGTTTGAGTCAAAGTATTCAAAGAATCTGAGTGTTTATTGAGATCATTGTTTAATTTATCTAATGATAAACAATCTTTTAAAAGTGCTGCTATTCTAATATGATTGCTTTCAAGATTGCAGAAAGACTATTTTTCTTTATTAGATTTTTAAAAAAAATATCACTATCGGAATTATCATTAAGAAGAGTTACGTTAAAATAGTTAATTACTCTTATATTTTGTTTTGTTACCATTGTTTGACAATAATAATAATCAACCTACCATCTCATTTAGAACTACCATCTTAATAATTAGAAAGCAAAGCTGTCTTTTATAATACATATAACATAAGATTTCTTTATTTCAGAGATTGGCAATGACCTCATGGACAACTAAACTCAATTTTGAATCCACGGACCACTATCATGAATTATTTTTAAATGATACAAACATCTATAGAATATAAAATTAATAAACACTGCAATAACCTAATAAACCAGCAACAATATTTTAAACAAAGTGCAAAGTAGTTGTTAACATCTATAAAATAATGATCACAAAAGTTCTATTTTACTTTATTTTACTGTATAATATGAAATTCACTTGTTTAATTATAACAAATTAGTGTAAAGTTTGTTGTTGCTTGTTAGAAATAAGTTTATGGATTCTTGGCTCTTTTCCATGAAGGATGACAATCACACTCACATTATTTATTGATTTATTGACATTATTATTTATTGATAACAGCCATTTTTTGCATTTGGTTTTAGATTCAAATAAAAAACCCCCAATGAGTGAGAAAACGCAACCAAGTATTTTGCATTTATTTCATAATACTTGAGTTAATCAATGTCCAAATTTCTCCACAGATCACCAAAATTTTCTCGCAGACTATCAGTGGTCCACAGACCACCAGTTGGTGATTGCTGCTTTATTTCATACCTCATGGTTTTGGTTTCACTCAACTATACTGATCTGGGATTTCTCCAAGCTGGGTTCTATCCATAGAGGGATTTTGACATTATTTGTTGCAAATGCATATAGGGCCTTGTTAATGTAGATAAAGCACATTTTAATATGCTAACAAAATTTTAAAATCATATTCATATATAATTCAATTATTTTTCAACATAAATAAAAAATTATTGTCTTGAATCATTATTTTCAAAAATATAAGTTTTTGAAGATTCTTGAATTTATTTACAGTTGTCAAATTGAATACTTTTTAGAATAATTTAATCAAGTATTTTTTTAAAATTTTAGGTGTATTATTTAGCATTGAAGTAACATCTGTGTTTTTTGCTGTGAGAAATTATTGGCGAGGCTTTTTTGCAGCATGTTGTGGTGCTATGGTATGGAGGCTTTTGGGAGTCTGGTTTAAAGGCGAAGGTTTGTCTAATAAAGTTTTTAATTTCATTATGCAATAATACTTAAGAATAAATATGATACAAAAATTTTTGTAATTCATAATGATTCATAATTCATAATGTAATTCATAATGATAATTTTGTAAATTTTCATATTAATTTTTATATAAATAACTAAAATTATTTAAATTAATAACAAATGTTTTATCAAGAGAAACAAAAGCACTAAAAAGATTTTAGAAGTCAAAGCTTTTATTTGGTTAATCATTTTTTTAAACTTCTTCATCCCATCATCAAACCCAAACAAATTTGAATCATAAATTCTAAATTGATGATATATACTTTTAAAAACTGATGCTATTACACTGAGATGTTTTAAATTAAACAGAAATTTTCTTTTAAGTTTTAAAAAACTGTTCACACAGCATAACAACTGGAAACTGCAGTGACTGGTACCAAAACAACAAAAAACCATCAATTGCATCAAAAACTTTAATAACTAAACTTTATGTATTTATGTATTATGTTTTTGTAAACTTTATGTATTTTATATTTTTTGAGTTTGGTACTTATATTTTTGTTTATTTGTAATTTAAATTGTCCAACTTTCCACATTTCAAATATTTATTCTATAACATTATTTTTTAAATTATTGTTCTGTTCAATCTTAACTTGCATTCAATTTTATGTTCTACCTGAGAAGGATTGCTAAAATATGGACAAAAACATTATAGTAATTAAAAGTTTTTGCTGCAATTAATGGTTTTTTGAGTATTTAGGTAACTTCACACTTTTGAATTCCTCCAGAACACTCAATTAAATCATACAGATGGTCTAACTTGAATACATACTTTGAATATTGTTGGATCTGATGATGGGATGGGAATAGTGATCATTTTAATTAGAAAAATGTTCTAAATGTAACAAAATAACTTAATTTTCCATTAAAAAAAGTTAATAAAAATTATCTGCTTTTATACAACTTTGTTTAAGTTTTATATTATTAACAAAACATTTTCATTATGACAATTGAAAATCTTGGGGCAAGAACATGTTAACTCATTTTTTCACATTTCTGGGAAAATCACCTTAAAATTCTGAATTTGCCCTGTATTTAGGACAGGTCACAGGTGATTAATTATATTAGAAGTTGATAGGCCAGTCTATGAGAAATTATGGGTCATGAATCATATCTGCCCTATGTGTTTAGATATTCAACAAAGAAACTGAGTGAACATGTTCTTGCCTCAAGGTCTTCAATTTTATGATAGATATCCTCTAATGCTTGCAGTCAAATTATAAACAATCTGGTATTTTGTAATCCAGATATTTGGCAATTATTTTTAAAATATTTTCAGTTCTTCAGAAAATATTTTACACTTTATTATGATTCTTTACACATTGCTTTTAATATCACTAATTATTTTTATTACAAAAATTTTTAGCTGATTTAAATCATCTTCATGCACATAAAGATTATATCCAATTTAATAAAATAGAGTATTATCATTGTATTTCATGCCATTAAATAGAGTCAAATTCTTTTGTATCTGAAGATGATTTTAAGTAAGTTATGGATAAATATTTTTGTGCAATAAAAATAAAACTGACTAACAGTATTTTAAAAGCAATGTATTATATGTATGTATTATAATTATTCTTAAGAATAAAAAGACAAGAAAAAACTAAACTTTACATTAAAAAGTAAATTTAAATTATTTTAAATTAATAATAATGTTTTTCATAAGGAAAGCTTAATAATTTGTTCTAATTATTGATGATAAAAAGTAATTGTAAAGCCAATATTTTATAAAACTTGATACTTCAATTAAAAATAATAAAATATTGGACTATTTTTTACAAATTTTATTTATTTTATTAGTATTGAAATTTAAATTAACTTATTACTATTTTTTTAATCATCAATAATTTAGAACTAATTATTAGTAGATTTTCCTTACGAATAACATTATTATTAATTTAAAATAATTTAAATTTACTTTTTAATGTAAAGTTTAGTTTTTTCTTGTCTTTTTATTCTTAAAAATAATTATAGTACATGAAAAATCTTGCATTATGATTTTAAACTTGTATGAATTATTTCAGTTTCTAGATTAATAATTATATTACAAGATATTTGTATTATCCCTTTTTTAGAAACAATTACTGCTTTGTTTAAAACTAATTTTCCTGTGGATTTTCCATATGATCCTATAGAATTAATTGCCTATTGCTTAATAGGGTAAGCAAACTTTAATGATATTAAGAAAATATAGATNTGTTTCATTGTGACAACACCCCCACTCACACAGTTATCTCTATTCAACTGTTTCTTGCCAAAAATAAAATTGCTGTGGTACCCCACACTCCTTATTCATCAGACTTGGCACTGTGTGACTTTTTTCTATTTCCACAGTTGAAAAAAGTGCTGATAGGACAAACAATTAAAAATTAATATTTACTATTTTATTTATTATATTATATATAAATATTTATTTTATAATAAATATTAAGTTAACAAACATAATGAAAATACTAATATTTACAAAATGTAGAAAACAAGGAAAATTATATAAATATTTTAACTCTTAAATTTTATAACAATGTAACATTCAAAAATAATTTAATGTAGTTATTCACTTTGTAAAATCAGTATACTAATAATTTATAATAGCTAATTATAAATAGAGTGGGTGGAAAGTAACTAAGCATTGGGAAATCACAATAACTTCTATCCACACTTCTAATGCAATGTTGTTGAAAAAAATTTGACATGCACCTTATTAAATGGAAATATGGATGCATACCTTAAAATTCAATGTAAGCATTGGCACCATCCACCAATGACATGTTATTCTCAGATCATGATATGGATTGACAACCACTTCTGTGTGCATCTACAACCAAACCTGTGGAATGACAATTCTTGATTATTTCCAGATGGACTGTGGTATGATGGTCCTTCTATATACACCATTATCACAGCAACCACTGATATCCAGTTGTGTGCAGTAATCTGCATTTGCTCCTGAACAGACAAATTGTTGGTCATCTTACATCACATTACACATTCTTTGTTTTTAATTTGATTGCTTTAGCTTGATATAGACTTGTATTGCTTGTGTTACATGACAAGAAGTCTTTTAATCATTATTTGTCTAATATTTTTTATAACTAAATATTATTATAAACTGATAAATTTGCTATCATTTAATTAAATTTCTAACTCTTTTCATGATAGTCGATTCTTATATCCTGCCATTGTTACAACTATCATTGCAAGCATCACCTTTCCAAATGGATTAGGTCAATTTATGGCTGCTGAGGTTAGAATTATATTATTTGAAATGAAATAACTTTCATTTAACATTTCAATCTATTTCTAAATTTACAGACAAAACTCATCATTAAAATTTTACTATTTTCAGTTGACAACCCATGAAGCAATGCATGAATTATTTAGCAATATTACATGGAGTAGCAAGCATCAAGAAGTAGATGATGCAATTATAGTTAGCCATTGGTCAACACCACATACAAGTATTCATATTAATTTGATGATATTCATTGTAATGAATGCAAGTATTTTTGGAAATTATTCTATTCTAAATATTTATTTATTAATATTATGTGGCATATTTTTTAAATTTAAGTAACATTTTCAGTGTTAAATATCTATTATTAATTAAATTTTGCAGCAAATTTAATTTTTCTAAATTTCTCAAAACGTATCAACTGTATAGCCCAGTGTTTTTCAACCAGGGTGCCACGGCGCCACGATTGGGGTGTTGCAAAGTTTAGAGCCTTTAGTCANAAGCTACATTGGTTTGACTGACTGATTGATTTACTCACTCACTCACTTGCTCATTGATATGAAATATTTGAGTAAAAGCAAATTTTGTACAGAAAAATAAAATGATATTGTTGAAAGACAACATTAAATACATATAAAAGTCTGAAATTTCAAAGAAGTAAAATATTTTAAACCATACATTTCAGAGGTTTATCCTTGACATTTCATAGATAACCATGATATTCATGCAAGTGATTTAATTTAGGCATACCTATGTATCTATTTTTAAAGTTTTTTTAATTTCATTATTGGCTTTGTATTATTTTAAATTGTAATATATTTTTTTTGTATTAGCAATGATGAAGTAGCACTAAATTTTTAAAATATTTATAGTTGTTTAATTAATATATATCAAACTAATATTATAAAAAATTATTATAAACTGCAATGTGAATGTGAAGAGCCTCACAAAATATTGAATCATCAAAGGCAATTAGGGACATAGTGAATTTTTCATATTACAAACTAGGGACTATGTTAATTATTTGGATTTAATGGATGTTCCTACTTGTGCAATAAAAAGTTAACTTTTTTATGATAATAGTCCTATAAATTTAAAAATTTATATTTTATTTCATAAGATTTAAAATCAGGCATCTTCCTGATATTTCAGCATTAATCCTCATCATAGAAGAAACATACTGTATATTGAAATAATTAAATTTTAATTATATTCAGTGATTTACTATTTAAAGTAAACTTGTCAGATAGACAAGTTTCTTGACCACTAGGAATCATTATTTCAAATTTGTTTTTGTTTTTTAAAAGCATATTAATTACTCTCCTTAGCATAAGTCTTTCAACAGTTGGATGCCAAGCAATTAAAGCTCTGGGGGATGGGGGACTCTGGATCAAATTCAGACAGGCTGAAAAATCTCATCCAGTTGCCTCATTATGGACCTGGCTGAACCCATAATAGGCTTGATTAAAAAAAGATCCTCTTGGTGCCTACAAGGCAGAGTTAAAAAAAAAAGGCGTTTTTTTAGAACAGAATAACAGCTGGTTATATGAACTATAGTCAATATAATTCAAAAATTTTTTTATGTAATATTTTTTTTAATAATGTATTTCAAATGGAAGTATAAATAGATATAGAAAGTTTTAAAATTAAAATTTATATATGAAGTGCAGTCAAAAAGTTCCAGGACTGGTGATATGGCGTGACAAATCGGCCATGTGCTGAACTTGCACAAACTAGGATGCATAGTAGACATTGTTATTCAGCATCCCATCAAATTTTGTGCCATTATCTTATGTAATTTTTGTTTCTTGCTATTTAGATTAGATCCATGTCCTGCCAATTTGCGATTTTCATCATTTTGTAAAATGAATTATTTTAAGGAACAGTGTGCAAGTGTGAAATTTTGTTTCAAACTTGGCAATACTGCAACAGAAAAGAAAGTGATTACAGGATATGAATCATGAATTTATGGCTATGACCCTGAAATCAAAGAACAATTGACTCAGTAGAAAATTGTGGCTCATCCATACCAAAGAAAACAAGCCAAGTGAGGTTCAATCTCAAGAATATGTTCATTGTTTTTTTTTTCATAGGGAGGGGATTGTTCTCCAAGAATTTTTCCACAAGGTTAAACTATGAATAAAAATTTTATATGGATGCCTTGAGGTGCCTTCATGAAAATGTCAGACAAAAAAGACCAGATCTTTGGAAAGCTCAGAATCAGTTGTTTCATTGTGACAACACCCCCACTCACACAGTTATCTCTATTCAACTGTTTCTTGCCAAAAATAAAATTGCTGTGGTACCCCACACTCCTTATTCATCAGACTTGGCACTGTGTGACTTTTTTCTATTTCCACAGTTGAAAAAAGTGCTGATAGGACAACAATTTGAAAATATTGATGGTATTCAAACAGAATTGCAGCGAGTGCTTAACAGCATCACAAAAAACAGAGTTCCAGAAATGTTTTGAAAACTGGGAGAAGAGCTGGAATCTATGTATAGCTGCAGTAGGAACTTATTTTGAAGATGATAGCTCTCAATAAATTAATATGTACTGTACAGTACATCAGACATTTTTTATTGGACCAGTCCCAGAACTTTTTGATTGCACCTCATATATATATCATATATCAACTTATTATTTCTTAACTTGAATTTTTTGTCAACTAATTGAAATTGGGGTTCATGTTTCTACAAAAGTAAACTTCACTGTTCATTTTTCTTAAATAAAATAACAAAAGTAATTAGTCTAAAATGATCTAATATTTTTTATAAATTACATTCATTTTTAAGTTTATCATATCCCTTCTTCATTTTAAAGACAAAAATTCCAGTTAAGACTCAGGACATCTAAAAATTCGTGAATATAAATTACTGGATTATATATTACAATTAAAATTCAAAATTTTTAATAATTAAGCTTAATGTAAGATGATGACATAACTGCCTATTTTTAGATCAAATTATGTTATTTCATTGATTAGAACTTAATGTAACTTAAAATATAATCTGAAAATCTGATGATGTACAGTACATTTGTAATTGATTTATAAAAATATTTTTTAGAAAATATGGAGATAAGAGTAAAATATGTCTAAAATAATTCTTGAAATATATAAAAACTTTTAATTAAATAATAGTGCTTACATATAACATTAAAAACCATGATAAAAATATATTGAAAATACTCAAAAGAAGAATCAATATTTAGGAATTAAAATACAAAAAAATACAAACAGTTTTCAATTGTTAAAATCTTATTTGTTTATATAAAGTACTACTAAACTTATTTATAGAACACACTAGTGTTTGCCAACTCTTGGGCATGGTAAGTGTATTTACAAAAGTTTCCTGGTTAGAACTTGTATCACTGCATATGTAACAATTGATTTAACATTCATTATCATATACAATATCAGTAATTTAATATTATCCCAGCAAAAATATGTCAATAGTTATATAAAACTGCCAATTTACTTTATTAATTCCATTTATACAGAATTAAAAATGATATCTTTTGGCAAGGTTATTTTTGATAAAAGATTTATAGAATTAAAGATAAATTCTTAAGAGTTCATATTTCAAAAATATACAAAAAACATGCCATTTAATCTGACAATTTAGAAAATTTTTCATTTAACTCAATTTGAACTTATTCCAGTTTGTGTTTTTTTTCTTTTCGTTTTTCTTTGAGAAACTTTTTAAGTAATTAGCTGTTTGAAAAATTGAAAAATATATTAATTTTACAGAAGTATTAAAAATTATCTATATTTATTTAAAAGCATAAATAATGGAAATAATTAAATTTATTTTTAAAATTTAGTTTATGATGACAGCTTTGGCAGTTACTCTTCCAGTTCCTGCAGGATTATTTATTCCCCTGTTTAAAATGGGTACTTTCATGGTTTTTTTTTTATATACTGTAACTCATAAACAGACTTTTATCTTTTAAGAACTAAATAAATTTTATATTACAGGGGCAGCTTTTGGTCGTCTGGTTGGGGAGTGCTTGGCAATTTGGTTACCTGAAAATTTACATTTAGGTGATAGAGTATTGAAGATTATTCCTGGTGGTTATGCTGTTGTTGGTAAGATTTTATCAAAAAGTAATGAAAACTATTATATATTAAAATTAATATATAATAGTTTGCAACCAATATATTAAAATTAAAAACACTAAACCTATAAACCATATGGTATAGGTTTAGCATTTTAAGTTAGTGTTTTTAATTCTAATTTAACCAGTTTTAAGTGGCAGTTTTCTTAAGAACAAAACAATGTTTATTAAATAGAAATTGAATAAAAATAAGTGAAAAAGCACTTAGAACAACTTATTAAAACACAGGACAAATTTCTAAAAATTTTGAAATTTTGGGAAATTCTGTCTCAGAAAATTTCACTTGTGATCAACTTTGACTCCCAATAGTCTAACATCATAAGTTCATGCACTTCCTGATTTATGAATAATTGCTATAACAAAAGGACATGACTGATCTTTCACTAACATGGTCAATATTGAAAAATAGGGAATTGAGCTACAGTGGTACCTCAGGATACAAACGCCCCAGCATACAAAATTTTCAGGATACGACATGAAATTCGGACATATTTTTGCTCCACAATACGAACAAAAACTCAAACCATATGACATTACATTCGTTCGCAGCACCATTTTTTATTCACTTCTGTTCATTAGTCTCAGTCCGCGTGTTTGCTTCATCGTGGAAGGATCTCACTCGATAAAGGATATCTTGAGGTATTATCAGAAAGTGACTGGTTTTATTGAAAAGAAACATCCCAAAAAGGTTCACACTGGCCGTATTGCTGCTCGGAGTAATGACATTTGCCTAAGTCATTTTAGAAACATTTTAAAAAGTAGGCAAAGCCAAACCTTTTGGATAGATATTTTACCAAGCAACCTCCATCCAGTGAAAGTGCTGGTGGAAGTGAAGGAAAGAAAGCAAAAAGCAGTGAATAAAAATTAAAAAAAAAATATATATGTATGTATATAAAACAACACTATTTTTTTAAAAATCTTTTCTGAGTTACTTTTTAAGCTATTGTTACATTATGCTATGTAAGTTAAGTTTTAGTATCATTTCCCTTCGCCCTCTCTTCCGCCACCAGTTTACACCTCCACCATTGTCTATCCTCAGAGGTAAAGTGCAAATAAAATTACATTTTTTTTTATCAATTATTATTCTATTATGGTTATTTATACATTTACAACTACAAAACGCATTTTTCAGTGTTTTCCTTACTATAGTTATTATTTTTTTAATGCACTACTTAGCTTTAATTTGAGTGTGTTTTTCGTGTTGGAACGAATTATTTGGTTTTACATGTAATCGTATGGGAAAAAAATGATTCACCTTACGATATTTTCGTGATACGATCTCAGTTTCAGAATGGATTAATTTCGTATCCTGAGGTACCACTGTATTTTTGAGTTGGCCAAATGATAAAGGTTTTGTAACTTTTTTTGTCATTTGGGTGACTTTTTGGGCTACTTAGTTTTTTCTGATGAATAAAATTATCTGGATTTAATGAAACTGCCAATAGATAAAAGCTTATTAACAGTAAGTAAACATACTATCATACATTAGTCTTTTAATTTTGTTAACTGTTTGAATTGTATTAAGTAATTAAAGATATTTAACACAAACAAAAATCCATAACAAATGGCCTCTAGGAATGGATTAATATGGTGAATTGACATAGCAAAATAACTAGCAGGAATAGAAAATAATTTAAGATATTTTGTAAGTAATACTTGCAAATTATAAAATTTTGTAAAAATGTAAATAAATTAAAAGCTTAAATGAATTAGAAACTTGATTAATAAATGTATTGTAGCAACTACATCACATTTGTTCTAGTTTTACCACTGAATAGTACTTCATGTGGAAGAATTTAGTACAGAGAATCAAATAAAGTGCTCCCAATGAAGCTGTTTGAAAGAGGATAATCTATAAACTTTGATGGCAAGCACCTTAAATGGCCCATAAATTAATTTAAGATTTATATTATTGTAAATAAGAAATTGGAATCAAACTTGGTCATATGAATTTAATTTTATGAAATCAATGACTATCAGGAAATAAATTTTTTAAATTTGTCTTGTAATTCTTTGTACTTGACTCACATTTTTATGATCCATGAGTCAAAATGACTCAGAATATTTTAAGTCTAGCATGAGCCCTAAAAACACAAGAATCCCAGAAAACAAAAATAATAATAATAATGAACAGAGATTGCTCTCTAAAAAGTTCTGGAATAGAATGGTTTCACAAATATTCCTATCATTCAAACAGATTTTTCAAAGATCAGCGTGGCCTTCTCTTGTTGGCCAAACATCCAGATGACATAAATCTGCTGTGTAGTAATATATTTTTTAAAATGTAAAAGAAGAATAGGGAAATTCTTAAGAATATTATTGTAAATAAAGATATCCAATTCTGATATCTATTTTTTCAGTAAGTAATTACAGACTAATAATTTCTGAATAATAATTACTATATATGAATTACAGCTGTGGCTTGATCACAGATTGTACAGTACCTATTACTGAGAAAGGATCAATGTAAAGTTAGATCCGAAATGCATATAAATAAAGCAACTGGAAATTAATTGTCTCTGAGTAATTATTGAACTTGGTGAAAGTTGGATTTGAAGGACATAACAATTTCCATTTTATTCATCCAAAACCCCTTTTAAGTGGTTAGAAAAGTAACACATTACATCTGGCTAATGTTGCTAATTTTAGCTTCTTATAAAACTTATATTCTATTGATTATTTATGAAATCTAAGCCAGACTAAATTTATGATTAAACAGATTTAAGATTTACTATTAATTTACAGGCAAGCCATTTTGTAATAGAATTTCATGGATGGTTGGATGACCCAGCAGTTAAGGTGCCAGCCTACTGCTCTGGGAACTTGTGAATGAATCTGGTTGGGTTAGAAAGCCCCAGGAATTTTTTGGGATAGTTTATCCTGGATATGTTAGGCTCCATCTCACACCACCCTAACTACCTTATTGTGGCTTGACTGAGCCTAATGAACCTAACAAAAAAGGTGCACTTAGTGTCCACAGGATGGGGGATAAATAGAATTTCCTGTTACAGAATTAATGGTTTCTAGTAATATTTTTCTCAAGTTTTCAAAATGTTTTAAATTAATGTTTAAGATATTTTATTAATTTCAAAATATCCTAGAGCTAATAAAATTTGATTATTTAAATAATAATGAGAGAAATTTTCTTCCTTAAATGATTTTGCATAACTGAGTTAATGACTAGATACAAATTTCAATAATCTGATTGAAATTATTCAGAACTAATTAGATATGAATGAATATGAAGGTAAATTTTAATGGAACTGCTATTCAGAACAGACCAAATATTGACTTTTTTCCACTATCTTCTTAATTGTTAGTTTGAATAATACTGGAGTAGATATGAAAAACTCAGATTTGCATTCTTTGAGTTTTTTTTTTATATCAACTTCAACCATATTCTTATTTTTTTATAATCATTTTATTATATAGCGTGTTTGGTTTTTATACATTTTTATTATAATGAAAATTATAATTTAATTTTATATATTTATCTTTATTATTTATTTATAATATAAATACAAAGAGTTAAAACATTGAAAATTTTAGGTGCTGCTGCTTTATCTGGAAGTGCTACTCACACCGTTTCCACATCAGTCATTGTTTTTGAATTAACTGGTCAAATGTCACATATATTACCAGTAATTGTAAGTAACCATTATTCTTTTACTTATCTAAACTCAGTTAATAAAAATGTATAAAAGGATTGTTTTTTTCTCCCATTTTCATTAACATATTACTAAATTTATCTGTTGTTATAGGTTAAAAATATTTTAATCTGAGCAATTATTCATATTCTAAGTTAATTTATTGATACTTTTACTAATTTTACTTAATATTTGTAAAAATAAAAATTTTATTATTAAATTGTTATATGTTATATAGTCATGTCTTTTTTTTAATTTAATATATTCAAAATAATTAAAAGAATAATAAAAAAATTCTAGGTAGCAGTTTTAATAGCAAATGCAGTCTCTCAGTCACTACAACCATCTATTTATGATAGTATAATTCAAATTAAGAAGCTTCCATATTTGCCTCCAATCATATCAACATCATCAGAGTAAGATTATATCATAAATTTTGATTTTTTATAATTTATATTATTGTTTATTTAAAGAATGTAATTTTAAAAATATTACAAATAATATTAACAGTTGATGTAAAATATATACATGATGCCATATGACTAATTTGACAAAACAGCAGATTATATTATATTGTAGGTTCTTGATCAGATTAAAGATAATCAAATTATAAAGAATAAAAATTTAGTTTTCTTGCAATTGGAGAGAAAGCGCTCCCAGTGATAAGTATATATCATAAACACAAAAAATTAAATTCAAATAAAACTAACTACTGATTGAGTAGTATAAAATTTTGAATTTTATTTTTAAGCAGAATATAAATTTAAATTTACAATATAATTTAATGAAATGGAAACATTTACTTATTATTCTATTGTAAGAATAGTAAAAAGAATAAAAGAAATTGAGATAAATTTATTTATTTAAATATGTTAAGAAGATACTGTAATTAATAATTTGCTGTAAGATCCAATAAATTCTATTATTCTAGATGTTTTATGTCATTACTTATATATCAGAAGTTTCAACTTTTTTCTTTGACATTTATGTAAATTCAGTTCTGAATATTAAATACAAATAGAAAGAGAAATTACTTATTGTGACATTGTCACAATGCCATGCTGAAATTTTTAATCAAACTATATTTTAATTTAAAAATAAGCTTTCCGTAATCTGGTCTTGATTTTTATCTATCTAACTCTGTTCTTGAGATGGACAAAAATGGGAATGCACAGGTCTGCAATTTGAAAATTGCAACCCAATTAAGAATGAATAATAATAATGTTTATGTAAAAATGTAATTAGTAGTCTTTTGTACTCATTTACAAAAATATTAACCAAACAATTTCATTATTATTAAGAATATTATAGATTGAAAGACGAATTATGACAGTTGTCATTATGAAAAATATTAAGAAATGAAAAAATATTACATGTGAATGAAAAATATACTACATGGATATATGGGATATTTATAAATATATGAATTTCTTTATAATTTATTATTAAATTAAATATCATTTCTCCAATCTTCAAAATCCTGCTTTATTTAGAGTGTTATGGTCATTTTCTCTAAATTCCAAGTACTTACAAGCCTTTTGGTCCATCATCAAGCCTATAAAATTGGAAAAACTTAAAAAAATGGAACAATTTGCTATACAAAATACCATAAGTCAGAAACCTATCTAATGTGATAACAGAAGACTTTTTAGGTGTCTATTGCGTAATTTTCTTTATTCTTATTATTATAGATATTCAACCTAAAGATGACATTTTGAAATGTCGAAAGCACTCATTTTTAATTAAATAACCTAAAAATAAACAACTTTAATGCCAATAGTTTGCTTTATTCTTATAATTTAACCTGAGTACAAAGGAATTTTTTGTCATTACTGCAGCTAAATATTAAATAAAATTAAAACTGTAACATGCACTTTCATATCATGATGAGAATTTTCTTTGTTTAGTTTTATTATATGGAAACTAGCTATGACAATACAATACCATTGTTTCTTAACCAATTCTCTACAAGAGTTCTTAAAACTTTTTTTCAAGAGTAATGAGTTTTTAAAAAAATACACATTATTTTTGGAGATAAAGTATATTAAAAATCTAAAAAAATAGTTACTAAAAATAAAATTAATTTGCTGCATTCCCATTTTTTATAACAAAAGTTGTTGAATGATTACAATAAAACATTTTAAGATGAAACACTGCCACTATTTTATATTAAACACAACAGAAAACAATCAGTGCCAACTGGCAAATTTATTACTATATTACTGACATAAGGAATAAAAAAGTAAATTTTTAGAAGCAAATTGATAATTGTTAATGAATTAAGTATTGATTAGCAAATGGTATAAGTTCATGAATAAGCAATTAAAATACATTCTATTTCTTTTTTCTGATAAAAATTAAGATAAACAAAACTTTAAAAAACATTAAATTTATTATAAATATTGATTAACAAATTTATTTTTTTTAAAATAGATTAATTTCTTAATTGTATTTACAACTAAAAATAATATGTAAATTTAATTTTGAATTTTAGAGCTCACAATATCTATGTGGAAGATATCATGGTAAGAGATGTTGTGTATGTTTGGCAGGGCATAACATATCGAGAAGCAAAAGCTATTTTGAAAGCCAATAAGAGATTGCATTCATTTCCACTTGTGGAATCTTCTGGTAAATTTTATTAAAAATAATAATTTGCAAATCTTTTATTTTTGTTTGAAATTTAAAGTGCAAATAAAAATAAATTTTGAATTTTTTAATATTTCAATAGATTCCATGATCCTTCTTGGTTCCATGCAAAGAATGGAAATTCTTCGTCTTTTAGAAAGACATTTAGGAAGAGAACGCCGCCTGAAGGAAGTTGCAAGACGACAATCAAAAGATGATGGAATATTGAAAGGAATTCAAGAACAAAGAAGAACATCTAGGTTTGAAATCACTCCTGTTTCCTTTGTTGGAAAGGTAAAGTACTTTTTAAATTTATAGAATAAAAAAAATGATTTAACTTAAATGTAATCTAAAAATATGTTGTCCTTTTTTTTCTAGCACTCTCCAAAAGGATCTCCACCTCCTTCACCTCCTGCAACACCAACAACACCAAAAAAATCCATTTTAAAACATTCTCCAATGCATTCCCCTTATTCTACAATTACATCCATGAGCATAGCTTCACATGGTATAGTTTTTCTATTATATTAACTTCCTTGTGTTATAAATGATTTAGAAAACCACAAGAAAAATAAACATTTCATACAAACATGAAATTTCAATGTGTATATATATATGTGTATATGTAAATGAAGATGTTTGTTTNAAACTAGTGGTGTCAGTCTTGGCGAATTGGTCATTGCAGGGCCGAAGAGTTGATATGATGAATTGGTCATTGCAGGATCAAAGGGTCCTGCAATGACCAATTCAACCTTTCGGTCCTGTGGTGCTGAAACATAGGGGCGCTTTGCGCATTGTCACACATACAACACTATTATTCTGTTTGATGTGAGTTATTGAAACAAAATTTAGAATAAACACAGTTTTTAGTTTATAAATGTTTTCACTTAAAATTTAATTAAATGATTGGAATGGTTATTAAATCAATATACAAGATAAGGGCATTATGCATATTGGTATTAAATATATATATATAATAAATGTAATAAAAATACATCTACAATATTTGTTATAAATGGTAAATATTTCGAATAGACTTAAATATAAGATGGTGCTCAAGTTTAACACAACTCACTCTTTCATACATATTTTGATATCTCTAAATCATTGTATGTACTGTACATGTGTTCATGTTTTTAGCTAACAGTTATTCAAACTATTGTGCATCAGTACTTTCTGTCAGTTTGGTTAAGATTGGTCATTCTGTCAAGTATTAATATCATTTGCAAAAATTAATATTTATTGTCTGTTTTCTGTTTAATGTATTGTTTTAATTGATGTTTTATACATTGTAATATATTCATTGAGAAAAGCTAAATCTTTTCTACTTTGAAAAGATTTTTATAATTTTAATTTTTAATCTTTAGGAATATCCTTTTCTTTCTTAACATATAACTCAACTTGTAACTCAGACACTCAACTTTCAAATACATTTTTAGAAATGCATTATGTCTGAAAGTTAGAGACTTCTGTACTCAAAACACTATTTCATCTATTCAACAGTACTTTCATTTTTCTTTACACGTCAGAAAACCCACTAATGACTGAGTAGATAAAACTACTGAACATTGGTAGCTGGTCTTGGGTTCACATCCTCACCAATGGGTTGGCCATGAATTTTTCAGGTTTTTTTCATTTGTCTAACACCTAAGCAGGAGCCAGTTATCCACAGAAAATATCCCTCCTTGGTAGATCACCTGTGTGTTCATATCCCAACAAACTAACACATCAGAATTGAACAATCCCAATACATCAGAATCAAAACACATTCAAATTTTTAAGATCTTGGCAATATGAGGTTCTAATGATGTCTAATCATTAGAATCTTAAGGACAAAAGAAATATTTTTTTATATAATAATCTTTATTTTATATATATATATATATATATAAAATAAAGATTATTATATAAAAAAATTATTCTTTTGTCCTTAAGATTCTAATGATTAGACATCATTAGAACCTCATATTGCCAAGATCTTAAAAATTTGAATGTGTTTTGATTCTGATGTATTGGGATTGTTCAATTCTGATGTGTTAGTTTGTTGGGATATGAACACACAGGTGATCTACCAAGGAGGGATATTTTCTGTGGATAACTGGCTCCTGCTTAGGTGTTAGACAAATGAAAAAAACCTGAAAAATTCATGGCCAACCCATTGGTGAGGATGTGAACCCAAGACCAGCTACCAATGTTCAGTAGTTTTATCTACTCAGTCATTAGTGGGTTTTCTGACGTGTAAAGAAAAATGAAAGTACTGTTGAATAGATGAAATAGTGTTTTGAGTACAGAAGTCTCTAACTTTCAGACATAATGCATTTCTAAAAATGTATTTGAAAGTTGAGTGTCTGAGTTACAAGTTGAGTTATATGTTAAGAAAGAAAAGGATATTCCTAAAGATTAAAAATTAAAATTATAAAAATCTTTTCAAAGTAGAAAAGATTTAGCTTTTCTCAATGAATATATTACAATGTATAAAACATCAATTAAAACAATACATTAAACAGAAAACAGACAATAAATATTAATTTTTGCAAATGATATTAATACTTGACAGAATGACCAATCTTAACCAAACTGACAGAAAGTACTGATGCACAATAGTTTGAATAACTGTTAGCTAAAAACATGAACACATGTACAGTACATACAATGATTTAGAGATATCAAAATATGTATGAAAGAGTGAGTTGTGTTAAACTTGAGCACCATCTTATATTTAAGTCTATTCGAAATATTTACCATTTATAACAAATATTGTAGATGTATTTTTATTACATTTATTATATATATATATTTAATACCAATATGCATAATGCCCTTATCTTGTATATTGATTTAATAACCATTCCAATCATTTAATTAAATTTTAAGTGAAAACATTTATAAACTAAAAACTGTGTTTATTCTAAATTTTGTTTCAATAACTCACATCAAACAGAATAATAGTGTTGTATGTGTGACAATGCGCAAAGCGCCCCTATGTTTCAGCACCACAGGACCGAAAGGTTGAATTGGTCATTGCAGGACCCTTTGATCCTGCAATGACCAATTCATCATGTCAACTCTTCGGCCCTGCAATGACCAATTCGCCAAGACTGACACCACTAGTTTTGTTATATAATAACTTGTAAAGTGCACTTCTTTAGCCCAATCGGTCTCCATCCCAAGTCCAATCGTCCACAGACGTGACTTCTCGCACATAAAAGGAAAACACAAGTCTCTGTGTCTACCCAGAAGACATAGAGACTTGTGTTTTCCTTTTATGTGCGAGAAGTCACGTCTGTGGACGATTGGACTTGGGATGGAGACCGATTGGGCTAAAGAAGTGCACTTTACAAGTTATTATATAACAAAACTATCTTTTTATTAATTAAAATTATAACAAGACATATCATTATACAGACGTTTAGCAAGAGCAAATGCTAATATTTGGATATACAGCGTAACTACTACGACCCTGGCATTGAGAAAGAGAGTTCACATTAAGTCCACGCGAGGATAAATACCTTAAAAGCGAGGATAACTACCATAAAGCTTGAAATTTAGAGCTTTTTAGATTGAGAAAGTCACTATCCTCTGGATCAGTTGGTTCTTTTGATAAATGGAAATAGATGCTCAGGAGCAGCGACGATATTGGCTAGAATCAGCAATGGCGTGATGATGACGAGTGGCTGGTCACACACACATAGTTCAAAAACAACTGGATGACTCTCTTCAACTCATTGACCCCTCCTTTTTATCAGGGGATCTCTCCTGGGTTTTTCCATGGCCTTATTTGGAGTTTTTCTACAATTGTCCAATAGTTGAATTTTGGTCATAGATTCCGGGTGACACACTAGGAAGTTGTGTCACCTCTGAAAGGAAGTTAATCCAGGGAAAGATACAATTGTATCCTTCCAGATTTTTATCAAGTATTGGGAAAAAGTTCATTCTTATTTTTCATATAATTAATCGTTATTTCGTTTTATTTTAAAACGAACATGAAAGTTTATAAAAAAGAAAGGTTTATAAGAGATCTGATCCGGGCACTCACATATAGCTGCATTTTGAAAATCTGAGCATTGCCAATATAATAGCAAGATTAAAAGAAAAATTAATCAACCACTATATGAAGATGATAGCAAAACAAAAAAGCAGTTTTATAATTTTTTAATCTGATATATTTATTTCTGATCATACAAAATATTCTATTTATTGCTAAATTTCAAATTAAACTGAATATTAAAAAATATAATTTTATTCTAAAATTTAAATGATCAATGATATATAATAAAGAAAAAAATAGAGTTTATTATGAAATTAAGTTTTTAAAAATATTTATTTTTAATATTGACAATTTATTTTTTAAAATAATGTAGTATTTGAAAATTACCATGATTTTCTCTTTTTTTCATGTATATCAGTTGATAAAATATTATTTTTATCAATAGATTCCAGATTACGACAAGCTTTTGAAGCTATTTTTAGAAAGGCATTGACATTACAAGATGCATATCCAAGTGACAAAGTATGTTGAAATATTAAAATATTGTAAAAATTTTAAAATTTAGATTCAATTTGTTGAAAATTAAATGTCCTTTATTTACTTTAATGTTAATCTTCCACAGTTAAAATTAAAAATTGAATATTTAGTTAGAAGTTACTTTTAAGAAACTTACAACATAATTTGTAAATCATGAATACTTTTCAGAAAAAGAATTTAATAAATTATAATACATTTTAATTATACAAATTAATCTTGATTACTTGTACAGGCAGAAGGAAGTGCTCCAACTACACCAACTATGCCAAAAAGGGTTCAGTTGGTAATTAATTTATTGAATTATCATAATTAATATTAAAATGTATGTTTTTTTTTCTTATGGATTAAATTCCATTATTTTATTTATTTAGCCAAGGGAGAGAGTAATTGATATGTCGCAAGAGGAGGTAAGATTCAAAATTTGATTTATTATTAAAAGTAATTAAAAGTTCAATTATTATTAATTTAATGTCATATTTATTGCTTCATTTATTAATTTTACTATTAAAATAAAATTGATCATTTTAGCAATTAGCTTGGGAAGAAGAACAACTTAATACAGCATTAGATCTCAGTAAATGTCATGTAGATCCAGCTCCATTCCAGTTGGTAGAACGTACTTCTCTTATAAAGGTACAGTACCATATATTAGAAATATAACTATAATTTTTTTTTAATTTTGTATTTTTAATAAAACCAATTTTGTTTTACAGGTTCACTCCATGTTTTCATTGTTAGGATTGAATCATGCATATGTCACTGCAACAGGAAGTTTAGTTGGAGTTGTTGCATTAAAAGAGGTAAAAATTTATTTATTTTATATACTTATATAATAGACTACAGAAGAATGATATCAGAAAAAGTTTCTTAAATCTAAGAAATCTATGTAATAATAAATGAAACTGAAAAGTATTTACAATTACAGAAACAAAAAGTAGTCACAAACTAATGTGAGGAATATTTTTTTGTCTATTGCTCTACTAGATATTTGTACAAAATAGTAGCCATAGATCTGCAACAATCAAATTGTTGTTAAAAAAGCAAGCAAAATTTTCACAACTGAGACATTTGAAAAAAATATATAGTTTTTGAAGAAGGAATTGTATTTTTGAAAATATAGAATGTTCCTAAAGTCTTTGAAAGTTTTCAAAATTTTATTATGTAAAAATTATATAAAGTATAATAGCAAAATGTATTTTGTTATATTTAATCCATAGTCATATTGGCATTCTCTTTTATAATTTTATTGTTCAACTTCAATATAAATTCCTTGTAACACAGGAAATTACTATATGAATTTATGTGATAAAACTATCTGTTTTCTTTAATTTTATTTAAATTTGTAGATCATCCAATAATACCAATAACCAATATCTTTAAACATAAAAATTTATTAGTGTTTGATAATTGATATTTGTTGCATTTGAAACACTACAATCATGTCAATAGTACATAACATATTTGAAAACTGTATAGGACTTTATGGACAGTGCTTATATTTTAATATTTTAACTAGTTAATGAAAATAACTATATGTATCAATTTATCAGTATAGTCAATAAATTGATATATAATTTCCACATTTTGCAATAGTAATAAATTATTGAGAAACATGGAAAAAAACAAACTATATATTGAAAATTTTTCAAAAATTATACATCTGTACTGTTTTACTCATATTCAGTTCTTTGCTTTTATTAAATTCATACTAAAAATAGTAGGAATTTAATGGAAGAAATAAAGAAAGCATTCTAAATAAAATGTGAATATATACAACATACTACATATAAAGTCATTCACTATTTCTCTAAGGATTAATTGACTTTGATTTAATTTATCATTTAAGTTTTCTCTCACTTAAAAGCTGAAATTTTAGGTTAATTGTAATTAATTAAAATATTAATTATTTGAAGATTGTACTTGATTCCTCAAGGTAAAACACAAATTTCATAATATTTAAAGAATAAAATTATGAATTAAAAATAAACTATATTAAGATTTAAATTATAAAATATTTCAAGTACAAATATTTTACAGGTACGTCAATCAATTGAAAAAATGCATAGTGGGGGATTTATAAGATCAACTCCCACTCCTTGTGAAGGTAGTGTCCTTTCGGGAAGTGGACATCATCATTTAGACACAGCTTCAGAACCACCTTCTGAGGCACCTTCTGAAGCTCCTTCAGAAGCAGATACACAGTCAGAACCAGAAGACATTCCAGAACCACATCGTCTTTCAAGTATTCTCAGGAATCATAAGAGAAACAGTCATAATTCAACATCACCTGTTTGATGTGTTTTATAAATTTCCAACTTTTGTGCTCAACAAACTTTTAAGTATCACTCCCACTTTAACTTTGTATCAAACTTTTCTACTTAGTGTTTGCTTGTATATAGTTGTTCTTCCAGAATTTGTCTTCATGCATGAATTAATTATTTCAAGTAAAAGGGTCCCTTTTATATATTCCAGGGGTTGTTTTTAGTACCAAAGGTGAAAGTTTATCGTGCTGAAGATACAAAGAAAATTAATGCATTAGATATATAAACTCTTATGAAATTGATTAATCAGTGCAGCATAAATCATTGTGATATTTTAAAATTTGTCAGTGAAATGATAAAATATTTCATATTTAAAAGATAAATTTAATTCTAAAAGTGCCTTATATTTTATTAAAAATTTGTTACAGTTTGTTACAGTAAAATTGATTATTATTTTAGTAGTTATTTCACTTTTTATGTATAGAATTTTTGAAATTATTTCAACTGTGGTAATAATTGGTCTCAATTATTCATATTTCTAATATGGCAAAAATATTTTGTAGTTTTAACTTAAAAAAAATAGTAAAAGTAAACAAGAAGGAATATTTAGTCAAAAGCACTTCAAATATAATAAATATTCAAGTTTGGATTGATATATAAACTGATTTAACAGTGTCTTTTTTTGAGAAGTTTTTTAGTGAAGTGTGTTTCAAAATTTTGGGAATTGTTCTTAAAAATTAGTGTAATTAAGAGATGTGCCATATCTTTCAAGGAATTTGAGCTGTATATGAGTAAGTTGATAAAATTTTCGACTTTAATAAATGATATTTATTAAAAAGTATTGTTATTTTGTTCATCAAAACATTATAAAAATTCACAGTCAGTCAGATTTTTCAAACCAATTTTTTAAAATATAAAAGCATGATTTAAATAATGAATACAATATCCATGGTAAATATTTCTATTAATTTTCTGCTTTATTCAGATATTACATTAAAAATAAGGTAATGAAACAAGTTTAAATTCATATATTTATTATTTAACATGAAACAAATTTCTATATTACACAACTACCATAAATAAACAAATTACAACTTTTTGTCGGTAATGTTTTCAATCCTTCAATGGATTATCTGCAATTTACAAAGTGTTTAAAATTTGCCTTTCAGAATAGATTTAGAATTTCTGGATGCTATTATTCAATAGATGGAAAATTTTAGAAACCAAAATCAACATAAGAAATAAGATTTTTCTGGAATTAGCTTAATTATATTAAAATAATCTTCATTAAAAAGAAAAGTATAACTGAATATGACTCACTAAATAAATGGATTGAAAACATTCATTCAAAATATAATTATTTCACTATTAATTCTAGTCCTGTTTATAATTTTCCATAAATGGCAAATTAATGTTTGATTTTTTTGTAACGAGCTCTGTTCATCATCATTCCGTTTTACTTTTCCAGCTATTATGTATACATAACAAGTGAAAGTATTGGAATTGGTCAAATTTGACTTTCAGTTTTTGCAAATCTCAAAATTTTGAGAATTCCTGAACCAAAAAAAGTAAAAAAGTGGCAAAGTCATTGTTTGGGTATATGTGTGTTGGTGTCTGTCTATTTTGCTTAATATCTCAGGATGGGGTAAAGATTAAGAAACAAAATTTGGCATGATGGCTTGTATTTGAGGGGCATTGATGCTATTAAATTTTGGTGCTTAAAGGTTGAGAGGTTGAGGAGATAAAGGGGTGTCTTGTGTCATCTTAAGGGCAGGACTTAATGAAGATTTTATTCATTATTAACACTTAGACTTTTTTATAAAACAGATCTCCATCCTCAAAATTAAACTTTTTGCCATTTTATAGTAATTAAAAATATAAAATTTTTATAACAAAATCTCATAACAGATGGTGCCCCACACAATTTTATTTATTTTCCTTAATGACATAAAAGTTTTTTTTAATAAAACCTCATAACAGCTGGGAAAGTTATACAACATTTGTTGCTGGATTTTTTACACAAAATCTCATACACAATAATAACTATTTTCTCAGTTAACATATCATCTTCAAGAGTAAAAAGATGTAAGAGGAATGATTGCTCTTATGTCTATTGATGTCTGACGACTAAAAACTAGATTGAAAGCATTAACATTTCCTCAACCTTGTTAAGTTACGCTGTTAAAAGCATATTGATTACACTTAACATTGGGTAAGGTTGGAAAATTATATATTATTATATATATATCTGTTTTTAACATTTAAGATTCATATTTGAAAGAAGAAAACAAGCAATTATTTGTANCAACATACTACATATAAAGTCATTCACTATTTCTCTAAGGATTAATTGACTTTGATTTAATTTATCATTTAAGTTTTCTCTCACTTAAAAGCTGAAATTTTAGGTTAATTGTAATTAATTAAAATATTAATTATTTGAAGATTGTACTTGATTCCTCAAGGTAAAACACAAATTTCATAATATTTAAAGAATAAAATTATGAATTAAAAATAAACTATATTAAGATTTAAATTATAAAATATTTCAAGTACAAATATTTTACAGGTACGTCAATCAATTGAAAAAATGCATAGTGGGGGATTTATAAGATCAACTCCCACTCCTTGTGAAGGTAGTGTCCTTTCGGGAAGTGGACATCATCATTTAGACACAGCTTCAGAACCACCTTCTGAGGCACCTTCTGAAGCTCCTTCAGAAGCAGATACACAGTCAGAACCAGAAGACATTCCAGAACCACATCGTCTTTCAAGTATTCTCAGGAATCATAAGAGAAACAGTCATAATTCAACATCACCTGTTTGATGTGTTTTATAAATTTCCAACTTTTGTGCTCAACAAACTTTTAAGTATCACTCCCACTTTAACTTTGTATCAAACTTTTCTACTTAGTGTTTGCTTGTATATAGTTGTTCTTCCAGAATTTGTCTTCATGCATGAATTAATTATTTCAAGTAAAAGGGTCCCTTTTATATATTCCAGGGGTTGTTTTTAGTACCAAAGGTGAAAGTTTATCGTGCTGAAGATACAAAGAAAATTAATGCATTAGATATATAAACTCTTATGAAATTGATTAATCAGTGCAGCATAAATCATTGTGATATTTTAAAATTTGTCAGTGAAATGATAAAATATTTCATATTTAAAAGATAAATTTAATTCTAAAAGTGCCTTATATTTTATTAAAAATTTGTTACAGTTTGTTACAGTAAAATTGATTATTATTTTAGTAGTTATTTCACTTTTTATGTATAGAATTTTTGAAATTATTTCAACTGTGGTAATAATTGGTCTCAATTATTCATATTTCTAATATGGCAAAAATATTTTGTAGTTTTAACTTAAAAAAAATAGTAAAAGTAAACAAGAAGGAATATTTAGTCAAAAGCACTTCAAATATAATAAATATTCAAGTTTGGATTGATATATAAACTGATTTAACAGTGTCTTTTTTTGAGAAGTTTTTTAGTGAAGTGTGTTTCAAAATTTTGGGAATTGTTCTTAAAAATTAGTGTAATTAAGAGATGTGCCATATCTTTCAAGGAATTTGAGCTGTATATGAGTAAGTTGATAAAATTTTCGACTTTAATAAATGATATTTATTAAAAAGTATTGTTATTTTGTTCATCAAAACATTATAAAAATTCACAGTCAGTCAGATTTTTCAAACCAATTTTTTAAAATATAAAAGCATGATTTAAATAATGAATACAATATCCATGGTAAATATTTCTATTAATTTTCTGCTTTATTCAGATATTACATTAAAAATAAGGTAATGAAACAAGTTTAAATTCATATATTTATTATTTAACATGAAACAAATTTCTATATTACACAACTACCATAAATAAACAAATTACAACTTTTTGTCGGTAATGTTTTCAATCCTTCAATGGATTATCTGCAATTTACAAAGTGTTTAAAATTTGCCTTTCAGAATAGATTTAGAATTTCTGGATGCTATTATTCAATAGATGGAAAATTTTAGAAACCAAAATCAACATAAGAAATAAGATTTTTCTGGAATTAGCTTAATTATATTAAAATAATCTTCATTAAAAAGAAAAGTATAACTGAATATGACTCACTAAATAAATGGATTGAAAACATTCATTCAAAATATAATTATTTCACTATTAATTCTAGTCCTGTTTATAATTTTCCATAAATGGCAAATTAATGTTTGATTTTTTTGTAACGAGCTCTGTTCATCATCATTCCGTTTTACTTTTCCAGCTATTATGTATACATAACAAGTGAAAGTATTGGAATTGGTCAAATTTGACTTTCAGTTTTTGCAAATCTCAAAATTTTGAGAATTCCTGAACCAAAAAAAGTAAAAAAGTGGCAAAGTCATTGTTTGGGTATATGTGTGTTGGTGTCTGTCTATTTTGCTTAATATCTCAGGATGGGGTAAAGATTAAGAAACAAAATTTGGCATGATGGCTTGTATTTGAGGGGCATTGATGCTATTAAATTTTGGTGCTTAAAGGTTGAGAGGTTGAGGAGATAAAGGGGTGTCTTGTGTCATCTTAAGGGCAGGACTTAATGAAGATTTTATTCATTATTAACACTTAGACTTTTTTATAAAACAGATCTCCATCCTCAAAATTAAACTTTTTGCCATTTTATAGTAATTAAAAATATAAAATTTTTATAACAAAATCTCATAACAGATGGTGCCCCACACAATTTTATTTATTTTCCTTAATGACATAAAAGTTTTTTTTAATAAAACCTCATAACAGCTGGGAAAGTTATACAACATTTGTTGCTGGATTTTTTACACAAAATCTCATACACAATAATAACTATTTTCTCAGTTAACATATCATCTTCAAGAGTAAAAAGATGTAAGAGGAATGATTGCTCTTATGTCTATTGATGTCTGACGACTAAAAACTAGATTGAAAGCATTAACATTTCCTCAACCTTGTTAAGTTACGCTGTTAAAAGCATATTGATTACACTTAACATTGGGTAAGGTTGGAAAATTATATATTATTATATATATATCTGTTTTTAACATTTAAGATTCATATTTGAAAGAAGAAAACAAGCAATTATTTGTAAAAGTGAAGATGTTAGTTTAGTTATTTGAAATAAAAGAAATAATTTTTTACACTCATTTTTGTATATCTTCTGCTGTTACAAAATTTTTTGTATAACAGGAAGATACATGCCTGTGCACAGGATTTTTAAAAGAATGGGATTTAAGAAAAAATGACGTTTCTTTTTAATGTAAATTTATTAATATTTACAATATAGTACTGTATATTGTAAATATTTACAATAAAATAGATTATAGAAGAACTGAACAGGTACTAAATAAATATAAATTATAAATAATATACTGTTTTATTAACATAAAAACATTTTTCTGTTTGAATTGCCAAATGGAAGGGGTTAAATAAAAAAACTAAAGTAAATTTAAAATGCGGGAGTTGTAGTCGACACATTTTTTCCGACTCCTCTGGCTTGAAATTCCTCCCAACTCCGACTCCACAGCCCTGCCCTCTCTCTCTCTCCAGCCATCCTACTGTCCATCCTATCAGTAGGAAGGCCATATGGAATATTGGTGTACTGCTGGAGGATCATTCTATTTGTGTAGCTCTAACACAAGCAGGCTAGCTACACAAATAGGATGATCCTATCAGCAAGATAGCCTTCTGTCCATTCTATCATTATATGTGCCAAAGGATTCATTATAATTCAGTCACTGCCAACTTATTATGTATAATAGAATTTATAACTAGTTTCAAAAGTAAATGATAACAAAAAATGACATACTGTATATAAACAACAACTC